CTGTTCATTGCCCAGGCTGGTGAAAGGGACAGTGATGCCTTGCCTTTAGGATGGAAAGGGGCCATCTTTTAAACCAGGTCAAGTAGTTTCCAAGGAGACTCATGGAGGAAAACCTTCATCCTAAAATTCCAGAAGAACGAATGCACATTTCTCCAAAGCCATCAGCTCATCTGCCATAGACCTCTCTTAAACCATGGCATGTGTTGCAAAAACACGGGGCTTCTGAACCAGGATCATCCCAGCCCATAACTGCAGAAGGAAATCCAAGGATTACTATAATTATATTCTAAAACAGGGTCTCCAAACTAGGCAACTTTAAGACTTGTGGACTTCATTTCCCAGAGTTCCTAAGCCAGCCATGCACATGCACATACCCTATTTGTGTAGCCGCCCATCCCACATGAAAGTGAAGGGCGGCGTATAGCACTTCAGATACAGTATTTGGTATCGTTCTCTGGGTTGTATTGCAATTACTGCTTGGGAAAATGAAACCAAAAAAATGGGACAAAAACATGAGTGTGTGGTGGGGAGGGAATATTCCAAAACAGAACTGGTGATATAGTTTACAGTTAAGAGCAGAGGATTCCATCTCAACTCAGCCAAAAAGCCTCCCTGGTTAATCTTGATCTAATTAATTATGATCTCTGAGGCGAACTTACTTCAGGGTTTGTTTCGAAGATAAAATGACATGGGAGAAAATGTTAGCATAAGGCATAAGATGAAAATGTGATAAATATTATTTCAAATATTGAACACTCCGATATAGTGTAGATTATAATAGACCAATTGTTGTATTGCAGAGAATATCTCCTGTAGCATCTGCCTTTTTTTTTTTTTTAATACAATGTATCCCTGAACGGTTGCCAATTTCTTCGGAAGTAGGATCAGAGGAGCTGTAAACCTAACAGGGAGTAGGGAAGCATATTTATTTTCATTTATTTATTTTCAGTGTTTATATGCCGCCCAATCCCAAAGGACTCAGGGCGGCGTACAAAGTTAAAACAATGATAAAACAATAAAATAAAGCAGTCATACCGTGAGTCTGATCATATCCCGGCCCCCCGGGGACATCAGCCCCAGGCCTGCCGGAACAGGAGGGTTTTAACGGCCTTCTTAAAGGCCGGCAGGGTGGGAGTAGTTCGAACCTTGGGGGGAAGTTGATTCCACCAGGTCGGAGCCACCACAGAAAAGGCCCTTCCCCGAGGGCCCACCAGCCGACATTGTCTGGCCGACGGGACCTGAAGGAGGCCCAATCTATGGGACCTCACCGGTCTCTGGGAGCTGTTTGTCATGCATGAACTTTGGCTTTAAAGAGTTAATCTTTTCCAACACATATCCTGCAAATGCCTTGGACTACAACTCTGGCTGTCTTCAGATGGCACAATTAGCTATGCAGATTAGAGATCAGATTTAGCTGCAACAGGCTAGGCAATTATTTTAGTAAATCTAATTCTGTTAAGAATGTTAAGAACGAGCACCCTCTGCTGGTATCCAGAAGCAGTGCTAGTTATTGACATACACCAAATGAGATGCAGATGGTTGTCTTAGGCCAGGGGTCTTCAAACTTGGCCCTTTTATAAGGTGACCAACCGTCCTCCTTTTGGGAGGAGAGTCCTCCTTTTTTGAGTTCTGTCCTCCCTCAAAAAGTGTCCTCCTAAATGTCCTCCTTTTCCATATACTGTCCTCCTTTTGGGAGGACAGTCCTCCTTTTGGGAGTTCTGTCCTCCCTCGAAAATGTTCTCCTAAATGTCCTCTTTTTCTATATTTGAAGACTTATCTGCAGGGCTTTTTGTCCCTCATAGAAAGCTCAGAAGGCGTTCCGGGACCTTTTTTTGATGGTTTTTTTCAACTTTTGCCTAAGCTGTGCTACTCCCCCATTGGCTTTCGAAAGCCAATAGGAATTGCTGCTGAGCGTGCCAAAACACCCGGGCGGCAAACTTTGCACGTGCAAGTTGCAGGAACTTCACACCCCTCACTGCTACCCAACTACACCATCTCCTACTTAGTTCTGCAAATAGCTGGAGGAGACTGGAGCGGTAAGTTTCTCTTGATCTTCCCTGTTCAGTTCTACACAGGGATGCACAGGGTAGGCAGTGGTGCTGGGGGGCGGCTGGGGGGGTGGCTGCAGGGCCAGAGCCAGCGTGGTTGGTGCTTTGCGAGCTGCAGGGCCGGCTCTACAGGAATGCGCAGGGTGGGCAGTGGTACTGGGGGGCGGCTGGGGGGGCAGCTGCAGGGCCGGAGCCAGGGCAGCTGGTGCTTTGCCTTTGCGAGCCGTGGGGCCGGCTCTACGGGGATGCGCAGGGTGGGCGGTGGTGCTGGGGGGCAGCTGCAGGGCTGGAGCCAGCGCGGCTAGTGCTTTGCCTTTGCGAGCCATGGGGCTGGCTCTATGGGGATGCGCAGGGTGGGTGGTGGTGCTGGGGGGCAGCTGGGGGGGCAGTTGCAGGGCCGGAGCCAGCACGGCTGGTGCTTTGCCTTTGCAAGCCGCGGGGCCGGCTCTATGGGGATGTGCAGGGTAAGCGGTGGTGCTGGGGGATGGCTTGGGGGGTGGCTGCAGGGCCAGAGCAGGCGCGGCTGTTGCTTTGCCTTTGCAAGCTGCATGGCCGGCTCTATGGGGATGTGCAGGGTGGGCGGTGGTGCTGGGGGGCGGCTGGGGGGGGCGGCTGCTGGGCCGGAGCTGGCACAGCTGGTGCTTTGCCTTTGCGAGCTGTGGGGCCAGCCGGCTCTATGGGGATGCGCAGGGTGGGTGGTGGTGCTGGGGGGCGGCTGCAGGGCCAGAGCTGGCTTGGCTGGTGCTTTGCGAGCCACGGGGCCGACTCTCCATGGCAGGGCAGCAGTGCTGGCAGGGCGGCTATGGGCGGGGGCGTGGTGGGCAGTTGACCTTCCATGGGCTGTGCCAGCTGGTGGTCTACGCAGTGCTGACCTGCGCTGCCACCACCTCACCCTGCGCTCCTACATGGCCGTCCTGGAGCGCCTGGCTCACAACACCTGCCTCCGCCGCCCACCCCTGCGCAATCCAGCCATGTAGATTTTTGGACAAGTGAGAAATCGAGATTGAATGTTGATACTCTAGCTGCAGCACTTGCCGTAAAATTCAATATGAAGGATATTTCTTGTTCAGATATTTCCAATATATTGTTAGAAGATGATACATTGACAAAAAATATTCATTCAATGGAAAAGTACTCATTTAAATAATTAATAGGCATGTAAGCATAATTACAATATAAAATGTTATTGTTACAAATGGTTTTTATTATGCATTTATCATATTATAGTGTATTCTGTATTATTGTTGCAATAAATACAATGTTTCTTTTATTTACGATATTTTTTTCTTCAATTTATTCGTGTCCTCCTTTTTGTTGTAAAAAAGTTGGTCACCTTACCTTTTATGACTTGTGGACTTCAACTCCCAGAATTCCTCAGCCAGGCACGCTGGCTGAAGAATTGTGGGAGTTGGTCCACAAGTCATAAAAGGCCAAGTTTGAAGAGCCCTGTCTTAGGCAATGGAAAGGTGGTTCTATTTGGAGATTAATAAAGTACATAAATCTTTACAGAAGCCCAGCAATACCAGCAAAGGCAAACTGGGCAATACGTTATTGTGCCAGCATGTGGCACAAGGTTGCCACCCATGGTTTGCTAAAGATGCAAAACTTAAATTTGTGACTCTTATGAGGCTGGACTGGGCAAAAAGCAAACATAAATGCGTACAAGTGGCATTCAACTTACAGCAGTTTGTTTAGTGTCCGTTTAAAGTTACAATGACACTAAAAAAAATTGACTTATGGCCATTTTTCACACAACCATTGCGGCATTGCCATGGTCACATGATCAAAATTCAGATACCTGGCAACAAACTCATATTTATGATGGTTGTAGTTTCCTGGGGGGGGTCATGTGATCACCTTTTGCTACCTTCCGATAAGGAAAGTCAATGGGGAAGCCAGATTCACTTAACAACCATGTTACTAATTTAACAAGTGCAGTGATTCACTTAACAACTGTGGCAAGAAAGATCGTAAAATGAGGCCAAATTCACTTAACAAATATCTCACTTAGCAACAAAAAGTTTGGTCTCCATTGTGGTTGTAAGTCAAGGACTGCCTATATTAATAGTAAAACAGATTTCTGTTCAGAAGCCTCCTCAAACAATTGCTGTAGTTCTTCAATCCTTACTTCCCTAAAAATAAGGATCCTTCTAAATGAGGATTTTACAGTGAAACCATCTCGATCCTCTCACAGAATGTTGCAGAGGGCAAAATCTGGACTGTGTTATCTTCTGTTGGGAATGCTTCTGTATTTATCCCTTACTTCTTCCTTTTAAACCTTACTACGGAGCTGTCCATGAGGTAATTATCTAAGTGAGCTTCAAGCCTGAATAAGGGTTTGAATCTAAGGTCTCAGTCTGACTTCCTAACCCAGTGGTGGCGAACCTATGGCACGGGTGCCAGAGGCGGCACTCAGAGCCCTCTCTGTAGGCACGCACGCTGTTGCCCCAGTCCTAGGCCTTCAGCTGGGTTTTATAAAACCTTTTCACTTTAGGCCTCTGCCGCCATGTGCAAAAAAAAAAAAAAAGGTTCAATCAATCAGTCAATTTTAACTTCTTGCGGGGAAAAAAAAGATCTTGCAAAGTTGGAATTGATTGATTGAACTTTTTAGTCCCACCCAGTCTGCCGTTACCACCGCAGCCACGCCTACCCAATGGGCCATGCCCACCCAATGGGCCACACCCACCCGGCACCCTACGATGCATAAGTGGGTTTTGGGTTGCAGTTTGGGCACTCGGTCTCTAAAAGTTTCGCCATCACTGTCTTAACCAATACATCACAATGTCTTTCTCTCCCTGACACTGCCACAAACCAAGTATCCTTTCAGACGGACGCTTAGGTGGATTGATCTTGAGCTGATTGCAGAATAAATCAGAAATAAACTTACAAATACTTCATCACATAAATGCTTTTGCTCTTCCCGCGTATAATAACAAACTGTCTCTCTTGCAGATCTGGATCCTTCAAAAGAAGCAGTGCTAATTTTCGGCCCACCTTGCCAGATGTTCCTTTGACTGTGTTCGGCGTCTGACAAACTATGTTCAATCCGATGAACCCGCCAGTTAACAGCTACATGGAACACTGCTACCTTCGGCCTCTCCATGGGCAAGGGCAACCTAGTGCCATGGTAGAAGGTCAGTGTGACTGAAAGAGCCTGACTTCGGAGAGTGCCTATAACATCCTGTTTCGGAGGGATTTCCAGATTTCTTAAGGGCTCTTTCCATGTCAGTTTGCCTTAAGAGTCTTTGCAAGCTTGCTGTGGAAACCTATTTGCAGAGCTTTTGTGGTGAGGTTCACTTCAAGTTGGATGCTAACCAAATCTATAGACTTCCTTAATGCTTTATAAGCCTAAAGTAGTGCTATGTGTCCCAGCATATACCAGATATATCTCACTGAGGGTAGCCTGACAAGAAAGAACTTATATTAGAGGTAATTTAGATCTTGCTGATGGTGATGTTGTGGCTGTGGAAAGAGATTGCAAGCGTTTGTTTGTGCCAGGATTAGAAGCAAATGCAAAAGACCATGTCATAATTTTTGTCTTTAGCAGGTGAATGTTACTGTTCGTGCAAGACAAAATGTCATCCTACACACAAGGAAGGGGGTATCAGAAGTAGGGGGGGAAAACTTTTAGGGAAATAAACCTCAGAGATAATTCCTGTATCCTCAACTCCATACCAAAAACAGCCTAGTGGGGATTAAGGAAACTCAATTGCCCCTTCTGGATTATAAAGGAAGATAGAGCTGTGGGGTAGAGAAATATAGAATTAGCGAAGTAAAATGAAATGGAACAAAATTACATTCTATATTGCAACAGTTTGTGGTGCATCTGGCTTGCTAATTATAATAGCTAAATGGGATTGCTATGTTCAGAAGTAGAGCAAAAAGCCAATTTTATGCCCCATTTGTAAATTCCTAAATGCATTTATCCTGATGGAAATAGATTTGCAAACTAAATGGTCTTTGGTTTTAAGTAGCAGGCCATTTCTGTGATGTCTCAGTTTCCATGCTTCTGTCTACTTGGCTCACCCTTGTATCTCTTTTCCTCCATATCTATGGCTTGCTTTGTTTTGCCTCCCCTTCATAGGCATCAGTGATTTACCATACTATCACCAAACCAACTCAGTGGGGAATCACCACACCTACGGATTGGTACCTGGAGGTGAACATCCTTCTCATACTGGTGGTAAGTTTTTTAGGGGACTGTGGAAAATGGGAATCTTTAGCAGACATAGATTATGAAACGATCAGCCAAGGATATTATATCCTCTTCCCAACAATAATAATTCTATCTAAGGCACCCCTTTCGGTCCAGTCCATTTAATTTCCATATTGATGTGGGAGGTGAGTTTCCTAGTAGATGAACTGCTACCTTCTTGGCCTTTACCGTTTCTGGGATGCCTCTAAAATGCCCCCTTGACACCCTGCATAAAGGAGGAGGTCTCTCCAATGTAACTCCTCTTTGAAGAATTTTCTGCAGGAACTTTGGAGAAGTGTCTACCTGCCCGGGAAGTCATTTGAGTAGCAAGCATGTGAATTGTTCCACGTGACAAATTAGACAATTAATGGTCTTTTTTTTATCCCCCTCTGCTTTTTCTTTTGCTTTATGAATTATTTCGATGGCAAAATCATGTAGTATTATAATTACTTTAAATATGACCCAGTGAAATAAACAACCATATTAGTGATCTAAAATAAAGCTTTGAATCATAATAATTGTGAAAAAATAGGCAGACAAAACAGACAGATGAGAGAGAGAGAGAGAGAGAGAGAGAGAGAGAGAGAGAGAGAGAGAGAGAGAGAGAGAGAGAGACATTTTAATATCCAAAACTTAATTGAAAAATTCTTGGAAACATCTTGGCAGATCTTATACATTTATATTAAATAAGATACATTTATTTCCTTGTGAGAAATCCCTCAATTAGCAACTCAAGGCCCATAATAAGTAAAATCTTTGTGGTATAAATGATATTATTATATATTTATATTTTATTATGTAAAGCAATAATTTAAAAGTAAATAGTAGAATCAGTACAAAAGATATACCCTGTGGAGGTTTCTAAATTTAGAAATGTCAGCTTTTCAAGATGAATTTTAAAAATGAATGGAAAAAGGACCTTCACTTTATTTTGAAAACCTGAGATATGATTGTAGTGAGAGAATTCCGTCTGGTTATGGCTCAATAGAAACTCCGTCTAAGCCATGTGCTTTATATGCTGTTCCCTAAATAAAGACAGATTCTAGACTTTCATTTATCCAAACTTGAAGAAATTTCCAGGCAGGGAGTGTGATTTCTACTTACTGTTATTTCTTTTGCACAAGGACTCCCAGGTTGCCCAGTTTTGTGCTACAATCTGTACTATACGTTGCACTATCAATTAAGTTTGGGCATTCATTTAATCATCATTCTTTATAATACTATTTTTATTATTGTTTTATTATATATATTCTTATTTATTTTTAGATCCTATGATATTCACTGTTTTTCTGCTGCATGTGTAGGTGTATGTAACAATTCTACTATTAGTTATTTTACCATACCTGGCCCTATGACTGTAATAAATTGATTTCATTGAACTCAGTCAGTACTCCTTCAGATTTTGGACCAAGGATTCAAAAGTTTTTCCTCAGAAGGCTTCACAATGCTTTGGAGACTGAAATCGAGAACAGAGGCCTTGTAAATGCCACAGCTTCCATCAGCTATTGCCAAGGATGGGAGCTATAATCCTGGCACATCCAAAGGGTTTTAGGTTTCCCATCCCATCTCAGGAAACGAGACATACGGAGAAATACATTTTCATATTTATTCATGTTTTTTTTCTTATTTGTTTGTCAGCTTTATATCTTACCTTTCTTTCAGGAACTCAAGGAAACATACAGGTAGTTCTCGACTTATAATCGTTTGTTTAGTAATCATTCAAAGTTACAACAGCACCGAAAAAGCGACTTGTAACCGGTTTTCTCATGCCCATTGCCTCAGTCCCATGGTCATGTGATCAAAATTCAGATGGTCGACCATAGGCTTGGATTTATGACAGTTGCCCTGTCCCAGGATCATGTGACCATCGCTTGTAATCTTCCCAGCTGGCTTCTGACAAGCAAACTCAATAGGGGAAGCCAGATTTGTTTGACCGCATGATTCACTTAGCAACTGAAGCGATTCTCTTAACCACTGTGGCAAAAACGGTCATAAAATAGGATATAACTCACCTAACAGCTGTCTTCCTTAGCAACAGAAATGTTGGGCTCCTTTGTGGTCATAAGCCAAGGACTATTTATACATCCTTCTGCCTCTTCAAGGGCATTCTTGTTGCTAGGTTGGGCTGAGAGAGAGAGAAACCCAAAGTTCCTTAGGGAGCTTCCATGGCTGAAGATAAACTTGAACCTAGATCTCTTTAATCCAGGAGTAGGCAACTGTGAAGTCCACGAGTCATAAAAGAGCCAAGGTTGCCTACCCCTGCTTTAGTCCTACACCAACCCTTTAACCACTACATCACATTGGTGCAATCATGATTTAAGTCTTGGGATCACACACCGAATCTCTCTTCCCAAATAGAATCAGTTATTCTTTCTTGGCAAAATTATATCCCTGGGATCTAGTTCATGCTTAGCGGGCTGAAGGGCGGAGGGCCAATTCTTGGCCTTTCCAATAAAGATTAGGAGAGAATCCTGCTTGAAACTAGAGACGACCATTGTCAATTCATACTAACCGTCCTGGGGTAGATGGTCTCATTGGCGTTTCCTTTGTTCTTCCTCTGTTTCCCCAGGTAGCCGTTTTTCTACACCCCGGAGCACAGCAAAGCTGACCAAAAAGCGGGCCCTGTCCATCTCGCCACTCTCAGATGCCAGCATTGATCTGCAAACTGTCATTCGCACCTCACCCAATTCTCTGGTGGCTTACATCAACTCTCGCTGTGCTTCGGTTGGGGGTTCCTATGGGCACCTCTCCATTGGTGCTGTCAGGTAGACATGTTATTCAGGTAGACAGCCTTCAGAGACTGCAACACCAATTGCTGACTTGTATAGGAAGTCAAAGCCCTCTTAGTTTAATATAGAACTTACACTTATTATGCAGAAAGATTCACGTCTTTCCAAAGTGACACCAACTAGGTGCCCTACTAGAGCCACTCTGAAGCAGATTCAAGCCAAGATGGATCATTTGACCTTTGTTGAAAACCCCATCCCAGACCCAAAACTCATTACATGGAGAAAGTTTCCACAGAAATGGGCAAGCAGCTAGGACTGACCAAGGTCAATTTCCCAATCCTTTAGACTGGACTGAGTTTCTAATCCATGTTTTCAAAACAATGGCTATGGCAGGGGGACGGACTATCATTGCTTTCCAGTAGGCAGACAGGCACAGAAAACGAGAGACAAGGAAAAGAAGAAGACAGAGTATATGTAAATTACAATGAATGTATCATAAGATTGCTTCTTAAAGAAGACTAAAAACACTGAAAAAACAAAAACATAAATAATAAAAACCAGAAGAGCAGCAGAAATATAATCAGAGGATAAGTCTGCTGAGTGTGAGATAAATTAGACGGAAACAAAAAGGCTTAGAAAAAAATAATATAGACAGAAAAAAAATTGTTGTCATACACTAGCAAAATTTGTTAATAGCTCTAAGGCTTATGATGAGAAGAACTGGAAATTTATCTTGCTTTAAAGAAGAAAAAGGCCCGTAATAATAGCAATACTACTTAGACTGATAGACCGCTTCATAGGGCTTCACAGCCCAACAAGCTGGATGTTCATTTTACCAAACTCAAAAGGATGGATGGCTGAGTCAACCTTGAGCATTCTAACCACTGCACCACCCCAGCGCAAAGTCCCAGGAAGTTACTTCCCCCCCCCCCGCCCCAACACACACAACACATTCATCCTTTTAGTTGCACTGCTGTGAAAGACGCAGCCCTTGTTACAAGTTTCTAAAACTTGGCAAATGAATTCTTGTGAGGCAAGTTCTCATGCTTTTTCTCATCCCTACAGCCCTTCACTTGGGTTCCAGAAACCTCAAGGCATGTCCTTTGGCCACAACCCCACAACAGTCCCCTGTGGGTCTCATGAACACGTGACTAGCCGGCCAGGGGTGATGCACCATATGCCACCCCCTCGTGGGATGCTGAAGCACTGCCAGGTAAGGGGGTGCCCATCCAGCCCTTTGCAACCTGTCACCCTAAAACAGGCAGATATCTTATGCCCTGAAGACAGTAACATCTAACTTGTTTTGTGGAATACCGAGACCTTCAGAGAAGAGGACAGAAAAACCTGCCATTACCAATACTTAAATTCCTAGGGATGCCCTATGACCCTTGGTAGGCTTAGAAACATCTGTTGAATGAGTTTGGGAGAGGAAGATGGGGGGCTGCGGAGACTAGAGGGACAGTGTTCGGGGCTGGGGATATAGTTGGAGGGGGTGCCATCACCTGGAGCTCTCGCCATCTCTCTCCCACAGCTGAAGTCAGAGTCCAGCCTGGGCAGCCCGCTGGATGCCCTGAGCACCAAGTGCCTGGAGGAGTGCTCGGAGGGTGACATTTCCAGCCCTGCCTCTACGGGGACACAGGTAACAGCAGGCCTCAGCAACGTGCTCTCAGGCCCACAGATGCACCCCCTTTCCCCACCCATAGCCTGGGGATTGGCTCATGGAGTTGAAATGGAGGAAGAGAATGACCAGAGACAGATCTCTCTCTCAGAGACAGTGTTACAACTGTGTTGGTTTGATTTTTTTTCCCCTGAGCATCCATAGCTCACAGAGGCTAGATTAATCATAGTAGGGTTATCAGCACTGTTTTTACTTGTTTAATAGTGGAGAGATGAGCCACTCTGCACATGAGAAAAGGCTACATGTGCACCAAAATTACAAAGCACAGCCTTCCTTATAGTACTTAGCATTTAGCACTTAGCACTTAGACTTCTATACCGCTTCACGGTGCTTTACAGCCCTCTCTGAGCAGTTTACAGAGTCAGCCTACTGTCCCCAACAATCTGGGTTCTCATTTTACTGACCTCGGAAGGATGGAAAGGCTGAGTCAACCTTGAGTCGTTCAGAATCGAACTCCTGGCAGCCAATGGTCAGCAGAATTAGCCTGCAGTACTGCATTCTAACCACTGCACCACCACAGGAGTTTGGGGAAATTTCTAATGTTTGGGATTCTTGCATGTGTCAATAAGAAAGTCAAAAATATTACAGATAAAAACATAATGTGAGAAGGAGAGCAACAGTTCTACATGTGCAGATCATCCAGAGGAAGTGCCCTATAGGAAAAAAATCCCACCAGAAGTATCCATACGGGTTTCAGTAGTTGGTCAACTCTTGCCCTGGTTGGGGCATCTGTATCAGTGGTGCAGTTGCCATCAGGGACAGCCAGCAGAAGACATCCTGCAGTGACTGTTGCTATACTGTTATTTAGGACTGCAGTTAAATCAGCAGTGGCATGGCGAGAGATCAGTGCCTTAATCCAACTGTAAAAGAAACCCCATCCATGCAAGTGAGTTACATTTTCGCCCCGTTTATTCATTCATTGCGCTCACTGGCATCTCCTTAAATTAAATGCATCTTTTCCTGGGATTACCTGGTGCCGAAACACAAGGTGCCAAGATCTGGCTTCCTTAAGAGCTTGCTGTCACGTGCAACAGGCACGCCCACACAGGTTTCGGGTTGCCTTCTTCCCTTGAAATCCAGGTCTCTGCGCAACCCCATGAAATGCCTTAGAAGCCGTCTGATTCTGCAATTCAGCAGGCAACCATCATCCAGCTTTAGTCCCTGAGATGATCTGGACTGAATCAGAACCTTTTTACATACTAAACATGTGCTCCTCATTCGATGGCTCCTCATTCTGCCCCCAAATCCAAGCATTGTGTTCATATCAGCCATATGGCGGGTAAGAAGAGACCAAGATGATACTCAAGACCATGGAACCTTAGTTAGAGTGTAAGGTGGGGACAACTATCTGTCCTCTTTTGGTGAATTGCTGTGAAAGGAAATTTCTAGTGGATTTTCCCAGAGTATCTTTGAATGTGTATCTTACTTCCACCCCAGGACCCCTTACTAAGTGTGCTTGATCCACGAGATGAATTGGAGAAGGAAGATGGGAAGGTGGAAACTGAAGCAGTATATGAGACCAATTGCCACTGGGAAGGATGCACCAAAGAGTTTGACACTCAGGAACAGCTGGTGCATGTGAGTTGGCACTGTAACAAGTTTAAGTAAACTGGAAAAGCCAGTTATTTTACTCGAAATGCATCTCAGAAAGAGGCCTGTTTTACCATTACATAGTTTTCTGGCAAGAAGGCAGGATGAGTACAATGGTATCTTGGTACTCAACTACTTTGAAACTCATCAAACTTGGTACTCAATGCTTTTGATGCGAAAATTTTGCCCCAGTGCTCATTGTTTTTTGGGTACTCAATGCACAAGCTAGAACTTGTTGTTGTTGGCTGCCTTATGATTCACTGCATTATTCCTCATGGGAAAAATTTGTTTGGTATTCGTCATTTTGGGTACTCCTTGTGCCTCCTGGAACCAATTAACAATGAGTACTGAGGTACCACTGTATTAACAATCAGTAATAGTAGGGATTTCTGTTGGCAGTCCCGGCCTTCATATGGTTGTGACTACTGCAACATTTGTTTGCCTAAGAAAGTGACACCAAAGTGGGTCACCTGGATCTGCAGCATAGGGATAAATGGTTTTTAGCTGGGGAATTATGATGAAGGCATTAAGGATATTCACAAAATTACAGTATACTTAGTACACCAATTTATGTTTACAGTGTGAGTTGGCCTTGTGTTATGTTCCTCATCTCTGAATAGAGGTTAAGTTAATTTAAGAGATGGTTAGAGATCCTAGAGATCTTTCATCTGATATGTGTGAAAAATTGTCACTTCTTTCTAGCTGCTAAGAATGCTATTTTTGTTAATACATAAGATCATACACGTTTGTCACATCTGCGCTCTTTATTTCCATTAAGACTTGCATGCAGTTGTGCCATTTTCCCCTCACAACAGTCCTACAAAATAGGCTAGATTAAGAAATATTTTACTTTCCCAAGGAGCTTCGTGGCTGAGCAGACCAACATTATGAGCCAGAAAGATGTCATGTCTAATATAATTTAAAAGCCAGACTTTTATCATTTTTTTATTAATTACCTTTCCTATAGTTCTGTAAGCAACATACCACAATGCAGCCAACAAGCCAAAAAGACAAAACAAAGAAATATTGTAAAATATCAAAACAAACATCCAGTACATTAACCCAGGAAGGGTGAATATATTACAGTAAAAGGAGTCGACCATAAGAATCATAGTGATATGTGTAACAAACGCTACTGAAATATTGTAGTATATGTGTGTAAAGCATTTTTTTTTTAACAATTTAATTTAATCTCCCCAATTTGCAGTCCTACCTACAGCGGATGGAATCCGAAACAACTTTTCCTGTTTCTCCTAAAGTCGGGTGAATTCTGAAGTAGTTGCTGCCTTTTAATTCTGGTCTCTGAGCTTCTTTTTCTCTCTGACATTGCAGCATATTAACAACGAGCATATCCACGGAGAGAAGAAGGAATTTGTGTGCCACTGGCACGACTGCTCACGGGAACAACGACCCTTCAAAGCTCAGTACATGCTGGTCGTCCACATGAGGCGCCATACAGGAGAAAAGCCTCATAAGTGCACAGTAAGTAGGGCACAAACAGCTGGCATTTGAGCTACCTAAAAAGAGAGTCAGCGTTGTCTAGAGCAGTGATGGCAAACCTTTTAAAGATCAAGTGCCCAAAAACTGCTCCCTGCTCCCTGCCGCACCCCTGCTCTGCCCCCCCATCCCCCACCCCGCCTGCCCACAGGACCACTCACCTACAGGGCCCGCTGAAGATCGCCCAGGCACCCCAGCAGCACTATGGCAGCCACACCCTCTGTCCGCGCCCTGCAGCATCAACTGCATGATGGGGTGTGAGGACAGAGTCTTGTCTACGCTGCCTGGCTGCCATATCCTTAGCTGCACTGGGCCATGCTCAGTGGTGACTCTCCTTCAGGGGGGCTGCTGGAGAGGAGGGGGTCATGGGGGGAGGCAAGTCTGGGGCAATGGCACATGTGCCCACAGAGAGGGCTCCGAGTGCCGCCTCTGGCACCCGTGCCATAGGTTTGCCATCACTGGTCTAGAGCCATGGGCATTGCAACAAGGGCAAGGGAGGCAGGCAGCCAATGTGCTTCATACTGTCATGACACAAATGCCACAATCTTTTGTACTTGCTTCAGGCATCAGGATAGGAATAGTAATAGTAATCAAGTTGGAAGGGACCATGGAGGTCATCTTGTCCAACCCCTTGCTCAGGCAGGAAACCCTATACCATTTCAGACAAATGACTGTCCAGTCCCTTCTTTAAAACTTCCAGTGTTGGAGCATTCACAGCCTCTGGAGGCAGGAGGCAGTACGTAAGTGATAAGACATCACTAAGCATGGATTGGCATTCTTATAGCCCTGTGGTTGGCTGCAGATCTGCTGATTAACAGAATAACAGAGCTGCAAAGGACCTTGGTGGTCTTCTAGTCCAACCCCCTACTCAGGCAGGAAAACTTATAGCATTTCAGATGAATAGTTGTCCAATATCTTCTTCAAAACCTCCAGCATTGGAGCACCCAAAACTTCTGGAGGCAAGGTGTGTCCACTGGTTAATTGTTCTGTCAGAAAATTTCTTCTTAGTTCTAGGTTGCTTCTCTGTTTGATTAGTTTCCATCCGTTGCTTCTTGTCCTGCCCTCAGGCACTTTGGAGAATAGCCTGACTCTCTATAATAATAATAATAATAATAATAATAATAATAATAATAATAATAATAATAATAATAATAATAATAATAATAAAAGATGCAAATACTGCAATAGCAAGTATAAGCACCAATTCACTGCAAGAAACAAACCAATTAATGTACAGCACAGCTGCAGTTATAACAGAATACCTGGGATGTAAAATCAACAAAAAAGAAAAACAAACAAACAGTGCACCACAAAAATGGAAGGTTAGACTAGAAAATAAGATCAGCAAGTTAAGATCACATGCAAGCAAGCTAGAACAGATGAAAGAAAAGAAGCTGAAGAACAAGAAGACCAAAGAATACCTAATCAAGAAATACCACTTAGAAACAAGGAAGATCAAGGAAGCACTGGAAATAATAAAGCAACAAATAACAGCTATAGCCAGGAAAATCAGTAGATATGAAGCTCGAATTGCAAACTATAGGCAGAACCTCCAATTTCAATCCAATCAGAAACGTTTCTACCAATCCATCAATGGAGAAACTGCAAGGAATCAGTCAGTACCTGACAAGGAAGAAACAGTGCAGTTCTGGAAGCAGATATGGGATAACCCAAAGAAATACAACAAGGATGCGGCTTGGTTAAAAGAGGTGGATGCAAATAAAACAGAAGTTGAAATGAAAGAACTAGTAATAACAACAAAAATGGTAGAAAAAAGAGCAAAGAAAATCAAAAATTGGTCAGCACCAGGTGAAGATGAACTGCATGGGTTTTGGTTGAAACATCTAACTGTTATACACCCACTCATTGCCAAGCAATTCAACAATATACTACAAGGAGGAGAAATTGAAAAGTGGCTAACAACTGGGAAAACCTACCTAATAATGAAAAATCCAGCAAAAGGGGCAACACCAGGTAACTACAGGCCAATTACCTGCTTACCAACAACTTTCAAATTACTAACTGGTGTGGTAGCTGATGCAGTACAACAGCATCTAGTTGAAAACAATCTCTTTCCACCTGAGCAGAAAGGAAACCGCCCCAATAGCAGAGGAACAAAAGATCAACTCCTAATAGACAAAATGATCTTGGAAAACTGCAAGAGAAGGAAGACCAACCTGAATGTGGCATGGATTGACTACAAAAAGGCATTTGACTCTCTGCCACATGATTGGATAATCAAGTGCCTAGAAATAACAGGAGTCAGTAGAAACATCAGAAAATTTGTGCAAAGATCGATGGCACAATGGAAGACACAGTTGCAGATCAATGGTGAGAGCTGGGAGAGGTTAATATCAAGAGAGGAATATTTCAAGGAGATTCATTATCACCATTACTATTTGTTATTGCACTGTTTCCTCTGTCAACAATACTGAATAACTCAGGACATGGCTATCAAACATCAAAAACATCTGCCAGACTATCCCACCTCCTTTACATGGATGATCTGAAGCTGTATGGAAAAACATCATCTGAAATAGAATCGCTGCTCAACACTGTCCGTATATATAGCCAAGATATTGTAATGGAGTTTGGCTTGGACAAATGTGCCACACTTACTATCAAACAAGGAAAAATAGTGAAAACTGAAGGAATCAAGATGCCCCACGAAAATAACATTAAGAGTCTGGATGAGGAAGAGTACTACAAATACTTGGGTATCCTTCAAGCTGACAACATCAAGCACACTGAAGTCAAGAAAAAGATTAGAGGTGAATACATCAAGAGAGTGAAGAAGATCTTAAAGTCCAAACTCAATGGAGGAAATACCATAAAGGCAATCAACACCTGGGCAATCCCAGTCATTAGGTACACAGCTGGAATAGTGGACTGGACTCAAGCAGAACTAAAAGCAATGGATAGGCAGACCAGAAAAATAATGACAATGAATCATGCCCTTCATCCACGCAGTGACATTGATAGACTTTATCTACCAAGGCAAATAGGTGGGCGTGGAATGCTACAAGTACATCAGATGGTTGAAGAAGAAAAAATGGCTTTGGAAGAATATCTGAAGAACAATGATGAAGATGCACTGAAATTAGTATATCAGGAAGGCTTACTAACTACTGGAGAGACCAAACTGGCCTACAAGAAAGACCAAATGAAGAACAGAATAGAGGCATGGGAAGACAAAGCACTACATGGCCAATACATTAAAAAAATAGCTGGGAAAGCAGATAATAATAAAACCTGGCAATGGCTAAGAGCAGGAAAATTGAAGAAAGAGACCGAGGGACTAATTCTGGCTGCACAAGACCAAGCCTTAAGGACAAATGCATACAAAGTCAAAATTGAGAAGACAGCAACAGACAGTAAGTGCCGCCTATGCAAAGAAGCTGAAGAAACAGTGGACCACTTGGTAAGCTGTTGCAAGAAGATTGCACAGACTGATTACAAGCAGCGGCATGACAAAGTAGCAACAATGGTGCATTGGAGGATCTGCAAAAAATATCATTTGCCTGTAAGCAAAAACTGGTGGGATCATAAAATAGAGAAAGTCATAGAAAATGATAAAATTAAACTGCTCTGGGACTTCAGAATTCAAACAGACAAGCACCTGCAACATAACACCCCAGACTTAACAATTGTCGATAAGAAAGACAAAAAAGTCTGGATAGTGGACGTGGCAGTGCCTGGAGATAGCAGAATAGAAGAGAAAGAACTGGAGAAGATAACAAAATACAAAGACCTACAAATAGAAATAGAAAGACTGTGGCAAAAGCAAGCAAGGGTAGTACCAATAGTCATAGGCTCCTTGGGCGCAATCCCAAAACAACTGGAGCCCCACTTGAACACCATTGGCATTGACAAATTTGCTATTAGTCAATTGCAAAAGGCGGCCTTATTAGGAACTGCTTCCATCCTGCGACGATACCTGTAATACCATCAAACATCCACATCTGCCTATCCCAGGTCCTGGGTAAGGACTCGATAGGTAGACAAAATATCCCAGGTCCTGGGTAAGGACTCGATAGGTAGACAAAATACCAAATCCAGTCTGAACATCTGGCTGACTGTACGATGATTGAGAATAATAATAATAGTAGTAGTAGTAGTAGTAGTAGTAGTAGTAGTAGTAGTAGTAGTAGTAGTCCTGGGTAAGGACTCGATAGGTAGATTAGGGGCTCACTGGGAGGTAAATAATAATAATAATGATAAAGTTGGAAGGGACCTTGGAGGTCATCTAGTCCAAACTCCTGCTCAGGCAGGAAACCCTGTACCATTTTGGACAAATGGCTGTCCAGTCTCTTCTTAAAAACTTCCAGTGTTGGAGCATTCACCGCTTCTGGAATTAATTGTTCTGTCAGGAAATTTCTCCTTAGTTCTAGGTTGCTTCTCTGTTTGATTAGTTTCCATCCATTGCTTCTTGTCCTGCCTTTAGGTGTTTTGGAGAATAGCTTGACTCCCTTCTTTGTGGCAGCCCCTGAGATATTGGAACGCTGCTATCATGTCATCCCTCGTCCTTCTCTTCATTAGACATACCCAATTCCAGCAGCCTTTCCTTATATGTTTTAGCCTCCAGTCCCCTGATCATCTTTGTTGCTCTTCTCTGTACTCTTTCTAGACTCTCAACATCTTTTTTTATATCATGGTGACCAAAACTGGATGCAGTATTCCAAGAGTGGCCTTACCGAGGCATTGTAAAGTGGTATTAACACTTTACGTGATCTTGATTCTATCCCTCTGTTAATACAGCCTAGCATGGTGTTGGCTTTTTTGGCAGCTGCAGCACACTGCTGGCTCATATTTAAGTGATTGTCCACTAGGACTCCGAGATCCCTCTCACAGTTGCTACTATTGAGCAAGGCACTCCCTATACTATACCTGTACATTTGGTTTTTCTTGCCTAAATGTAGAACCTTACTTTTTTCACCATTGAATTTCATTTTGTTAGATAGCGCCTGATGATCAAGTCTGTCAAGATCCTTCTGTATCTTAAGCCTATCTTCTGGAGTGTTGGCTATTCCTGCCAGCTTAGTGTCGTCTGCAAATTTGATGAGTTCCCCATCTCTTCTCTGATCCAAATCATTGATGGAAATGTTGAAGAGCACTGGGCCCAGAACAGAGCCCTGGGGCACCCCTCTACACACTTCCCTCCATGTAGATGCAGTTCCATTGAGGACCACACGCTGAATACGGCCGGTCAGCCAGCTACAAATCCATCTGGTTATGATGCTGTCTAACCCACATTTTTCTATCTTATCAAGTAGTAGGTTGTGGTCTACTTTATCAAATGCCTTACTGAAGTCCAAGCGAATTATATCCACAGCACTCCTCTGGTCCACTAATTTTGTCACCTGGTCAACAAATGCAATAAGATTTGTCTGGCATGATTTGTTTTTGATAAACCCATGCTGGTTTTTGGTAATGACTTTGTTTGCCTCTAGGTGTTTGCTGATTCGTTGCTTGATTATCTTTTCCAAGATCTTCCCAGGTATTGCGGTCAGGCTGATAAGTCTGTAGTTTCCTGGATCCATTTTTTTTCCTTTTTTGAAGATGGGAACTACATCAGCTCTTTTCCAGTCCTCTAGTAGTTCCCCAGTGCTCCAGGATCTTTGAAAGATATAGTTCAGTGGTTCTGAGATCACATCTGCCAGTTCCTTCAGAACCTTGGGGTGTAGGTCCTGATGATTTGAACTCATCTAGGGTAGACAGGTGCCCACTTACCATTTTCTTGCCTATCTTGTGTTTCTAATCTGATTTTTAAGTACTGTTTTGTCTTTGTGGCAACCCCTGAGATATTGGAACACTGCTATCATGTCACCCCTAGTCCTTCTTTTCTCTAGACTAGCCACATCCAATTGCATTAGATTAGATTAGAACATTTCCGCATTATATTGTTTCTCCACCACAATCCCTCAATTCATGAACCTCTTTATTTTTTGCCAGCCTCAGAATACTAAGATGAGCCGTGGTTAGACTGCAGACTGCCGATTGCCAGCAGTTTGGCAGTTCGAATCTCACTGGCTCAAGGTTGACTCAGCCTTCCATCCTTCCAAGGTTGGGAAAATGAGGACCCAGATTGTTGGGGGGCAATATGCTGATACTGTAAACCGCTTAGAGAGGGCTGTAATGCACTGTGAAGTGGTATATAAGTCTAAGTGCTATGAGCCAAACAGTGCTTCCACCATCCAACCAAAGCAGCGTCCTACAATGATAAGTCAATCAGTGCCACAATCGCTAATCTATTGCAATTCCTGAAGAAACAAAAATCCCCTGGAAAAAAACAAAATTCAAACCCCAAGCCCACTGCTCTCCAGTGTTTTCAGTGCATGAAATATATGTTTGGCTCTTTTGCAAAAACAAAACACAAACACCATCAAGACATGATTCTTCTTGAGGAAGAGTTCTTCTTGAAAGTTGCAGTGTTAACATAACACCGTAATTTTGCAGCCAGGTGCTTTTTCCACCCACTGGAACTGGAACTGGAGGTGGCATTGTAGGACCTTTACCTGTAGGATGTGTGCAGGATTATAATTGACTTCACTGATAAAATTGACCGTGAAATCTACCAGACAGTCAAAATTGGGAGGCAGATTAAGACAAGAATTTTAGCACAGGAGGAAATATTTTAACCCGACTTAACCACAAAGTGAGATTTGAGGGAAATTCTTCTGGCTTTTTCTACAGTTTGAAGGCTGCAATAAGGCCTACTCACGGCTGGAGAACCTCAAGACCCACTTGCGCTCCCATACTGGTGAGAAGCCTTATGTCTGCGAGCACGAAGGCTGCAATAAAGCTTTCTCTAATGCTTCTGACAGGGCCAAGCACCAGAACCGGACACATTCCAACGAGGTATGGACAACTGCTTGAGGTAAGCCTCGACTTTAGGGCTTGATGTAGGTGGGCTGCAAAAAAAAGAAGACTCACACCTTGGTATTGGGTGTATATTACCTTGCCATACCAAAAACAAAAAAAAAGATGAAGAAGCATTCTGTTCCCTGAACATATATGTACCTTAATGGCCTGTTTGTCTTCTGGCAGAAACCCTATGTCTGTAAGATCCCCGGCTGTACCAAACGCTACACCGATCCCAGCTCTCTGAGGAAGCATGTCAAGACCGTGCATGGGCCAGATGCTCATGTCACCAAGAAGCACCGTGGAGACACTGTAGCCACCAGTCGGACTCTGCCTCTCCATGGTGACATGAAGCAAGAGAAAGATAGTGAGGTCAGGAAGGAAGAGGGCAAACTCATGGTACCTGATTCTAATTTGGTGAGCAGCATGGGGCAGAAACGGAGAGAAGGGTGGGAGAAGACGACATTGGACCGCAAGGGGTGTTTGTTGGGCAGATACCGAGATCGGGTTTAGGGACAGACTTTCTTGAATTCAGGGAGCGTACTAAAGAACAATTCCCACATCACTGACTCTTAGTATGTATTTTGCAGAAAAAGCAAAGATGTGTGAAATGTTCTTTAACAAACATCTGCACATATGGAAAGCAGATCTGGAGACAAGAAAGGGAAATCAAAGTGCTTTGTTTTCCACTTCTGAACTGTGTATGTGCAGAAATTGGTACTGTATGTTTGCGTCATCCCAAGAATCTTTTTTGATTTGCGTTAAATAAAAACGCAGGTTAGTCTTCATGGCTATAAAGGGGGAAGGGGCTTAAAAGCAGGCCTTATTTATTTATTTATGAGACTTATATACCGCTTTAAGTGCAAGCACTCTCTAAGCAGTGTACACCAGTAAGCAATGTATATATATATTTACATTGCCCCCAACAATCTGGGTCCTCATTTTACCTACCCCGGAAGGATGGAAGGCTGAGTCAACCTTGAGCCGGTGAGATTTGAACCGCTGACCTGCTGAACACAGTCAGCTAAAGTGGCCTGCAGTACTGCACTCTAACTGCTGCGCCACCTCGGCTCTTATGCCATTTCAACAGAGAAATTTAAATCAGATTTTTTTTTAATTGGGGTGTAACAACTGAGACTTGTTGCAATGTGGCCATCATCTACAGTTAATGGAAGCACGGTGCAAAACATTCACACGCACACCCAAAAGTTGCACAGTTCATCAATTTTAATTTTTCTATCTGCAGAACTCAAAATCATTTTGCCATGGAAGTTTTAGTTACATTTGTGGCAGTTTTAGTGCAAATATAAATCCCTGGGCCTAAGTGTGTCCATGTGGCCCTTGTCATACCTGCACTTATCTTCAAAGGGAGGAGAGAGAAAATTGGTTTTAAACTGGAGAATAAGATCATTTTAAAGCTTAGCTTCAAGATCAAACAATGAGCAATGCTGAAACCGGTAGCCGTCTTATGTATTCAGTAGCAGCTGTCCATCAAGGCTGACACTGAGCCTCCTTCTCCACAAGACTTTGGCTCACTGCCCAAGGCACGCCTTAAGAAGGAATGTGAAATAGTTAGCACAGAAAGCAAACTTGAGCTGAAACCATCACATCAATACGATGCTTCTGTATTTCTACCTCCACCCAGAAGCCGCAGCCCAGCCCTGGGGGTCAATCGTCCTGCAGCAGCGAACACTCCCCCTTGGGCAGTGCTAATAATAATGACAGCGGCGTGGAGATGAACGCAAATGCAGGGGGCAGCTTAGAGGACCTGTCAGCACTGGAGGAACCGTCTGAGCCCATGGGAACCTCTGGGCTCTCGGCACTGCGCAAGTTGGAGAACCTGCGCATCGACAAACTCAAGCAGCTGCGTAAGCCCCTCTCGATGAAGGGGGTCAAGCTTCCTTCCATCCCTGGGGCAGGTAAGCAGGGAAGACTTCTACAGCCCTATTTTCAGCCACGGGAAGGCAATGAAATGAACTTGCATCATCATCACCAACGTGGCTATTCAAGAAGGCCGCTGGGGGAGCTGGAATTGCTTTCTTGAGGCATTTTTAGGAGGGAAGCAAAAACTCTCTTCCAACCACTGTCTTGAAGCACAGTCTTCTTCCTTTCATGGCACTCCAATTATCGTCCCTACATTTTCTGCCTCCTTCTCCCCCTCCTTTTTGTTAGTAGAAATCACTTGGCATGAGTAAACCTTGCAGGAGAGGCTGAATCTGTTAATTTGCGTTGATTTATTTCATTGCCTCCCAACCAGAGGAGAGATGCTTTGTGTGGTCCAATCCCCTAAAACAGTTGAGCAGGTGTTCAGAACCGAGGACTGATGCTGAGCAGGCTTTGGATGAGTTTGAAGCTGGCGAAGTCTTAACGCAGTGGGGAGGAGAGAGGGAGGGAGGTTATCCAGTCGGCTTATTGATACAGCTTTTGAGCTTATTTTAAAAACCGCGAAATACAGTAGGGGCTCTGCATTCTCTGTCCTTTTAATGTTCTGCTTTGACTTCTTGCAGGTCCAGGAAGAGAGATGCCTGGCATGTGTGGGGGCCCCTCTGCAGCGGCTTCTCACCGGCGTGTTATGGAGCTCTCATCCAGTGACCTGCCTTCTCTAACTGTGGCAGGAGACCGGCGAGGTAGCACTACCAGCACTGTCAGTTCAGCCTATACAGTCAGCCGTCGCTCTTCCATGGTATCACCCTATCTGCCAGCTGGGAGTGCCCCCAATGGATTAGGCCTCCCGGACCTGTATGACCCCATATCCCCCGATGCCTCAAGACGCTCTAGTGAGGCCAGTCATTGCGGAGGACTTCCCGGGCTGGGCAACCTCACCCCAGCCCAACAGTACCGCCTCAAGGCCAAATATGCTGCAGCAACTGGTGGGCCACCTCCTACTCCTCTCCCCCATATGGACAGAGCTGTTCAGTCCAATCTCGTAGGGGATTATTCTAACTCATGCTTGCCTCCTTTTGTGCATGAGCACAGCACGAATGATTACCACGGTTACAGCGGCACTGGCATTCTCCATCCCCACCTGAGCCATAGTGGCCGGCGAGCCAGCGACCCCATGCAGGCAGTGGCGGAGGTCCATCCTGTCCCACGAGTGCAAAGGTTTAAAAGCCTCAGCAACATGAGCCCAGCAAGTGGAGGTAGAGCCGGTGGACAAGTGACGGGGAGTACTGAGGCCAACCTTTCCCACCATCTCTTCTCCCCACGGCCACCAAGCATCAGTGAGAATGTTTTTTTGGAAGCTGCCGCTATGGAGAGCACCATCCCGGCTGGGGAGCCAGAAGTGCTGGAGATGGAACCTTATCTCACCTACCAGGAGCGGAACTATCCATACCAAGCAACGACCATGGAGCTGCAGAGCAATCTCGCTCATCGAGGCACCTTGAAGCTGGTGGGTGACTTACAGATGAGCCCAGTGAACCACGAGCAGCTAGAAGGTGGTTTTGATCAGCCAGACTACATCCAGTCTCAGTGCCAGATGAATGTTGCTTTCCACACTGCACGGCAGTGGGACAGCAATAGTTCAGGGGTAAATCCTGCATCACTCCCTGGCATGGGGCAGTGCCATTCTGCCCAGTATCCAATCCCTGATGCTAAGCCTATGGGAGCAGAGCCTGCCAATCATGGCCAACAGGCGACATTCCAGTTTGGTCAGGCACATATTAAAGCCGAGCAACAGTTCCAACCAGCCACTGCTGCTCTTGCCTCCTGCCAAACCATGAAGCAGGTGTTATACAACCAGGCTCAACCAGTCTGTGGAGATGGTGGATACCAGCCCGAAAGCCAGCCGGGCTCTTGCTATGGCATGGGGCAGCCCCCAAGCAGGAGATCCCAGACCCCAATGTTGCAAGTCAAGGAGATGATGGTACGGAGTTATGTGCAATCACAGCAAGCATTGATGTGGGGGGAGCAGCCGGTCAGCAATATAATGGATGGCACAGAGAATGGACCCAGCCAACAACACCAGCCTTACCCTGATGTAAAGTATCCAAGCTATCCTGCCAGGCCATCACAAGCTATGGAAAACAAAGCACTTTCAAGCCCCAACAGCCAGTGTTACAATCCAAGGATGGTCCCTCATCCACCTGGTGGACCAAAGCCACCAAATCGACAAAGCAATCTGAGCTATCAAGTTAGCCCTTCTTATGAAACCCCCAGTGATGGTGGCCCCCACCATATGATGCGCTTACCCCCTCTGCACGGTCCTGAAGAAACAGGTTTTTCCATCCCAATGCACGTGCCGCTGAGCAAAGCTTCTGGGCACAAGTTGATGAATACCCATCAAAGGCACCATCAGCCCCCCAGCTGTGTGGCTGAGGATCCAGGTGGGCCTTATGCTCCTGGGCTGGATGCCCCTAAATCTGACTCTTTCTCTTATCTGCCAGAGGAGCAGGTGTCTAATAGTTTGGACACTCTGGACTTAGAAAACACCCATTTGGACTTCACAGCTATCCTTGATGATGCAGAGGCCCTTAGTCCTACCCCACCTGGTGGCCCAACCAACATGGCGGTGGGGGATATGAATTCCATGCTGAACTCATTGGCAGGGGAGAACCAGTTCCTTAATACCCTTTCCTAGTATGTTTAGACAAGGCTCTGATGACAAAGACTGCTATTTATCAGAATCAGGCTGATACAAGAGACAAGCATGCCTCTTATTGGGCTGAACTCATTGGGGAGAGAGTTGATTCTAACTAGTAACCTTCAAGTTCTTTGGTACAAAATAGCATTTGCTTTTTATCCTTATTCACCCTAGACAAGCTGATCTGCTGATGGGCTGGGCTGAAGGATGGGCATCTATGGGAAGGGAGGTGTGTTAATTCCAGTCCCTTAGTGAGAAAAGCACAGCTCAGGACTACCTAGATTTTATCTGCGGTCATTCATCTCTTCTTCCCACTAAGTCCCCTTTCTGAAAGGAAAGCAGTATTTTTGATAAGCTTCCCAAGTGCCTCTTTTCAAGTCTATTAACAAACTAGAATGTTACAAAGCATTTCTTGCACAGTGCCTCGGAGTTTGTTGATAGAGTACCTTAAGTCTGTTGCATATATTTATAATAGATATATTTATAAAAGTAAGCTTAGATACATGCAGTACTGGAAAAATGTGCGGAATTGTCACCTGTTCATACATCTTTCCTGTAAAATACACAGAGGAAAGACATCTGGAGGAGCAGTATATTAAAACTGCCTCTCTGGCCACATGGAGTCTTTTAAACCTAGTTGTAGAATCCTCCCAGATGCTGGAATATACATTGTTACCCCCCCCCCTTGGCCATTGACCATGCTGGTCTGGGCTAATGAGTCCAGCAACATCTGGAGGATGAGAATTGTCCCGTCCTTGGAAGTTGCTAAGTCTCAGATTATATCCAATACATAATATGCCACATTCAGGTCCATCCCCTCATTTCAGCTCCCAATTTGCAAAGCTAGCAAAAGTTAACTTGGCATTTCTAAGTACCACCAATTTACCTTTTGCCATAAGCTCCCACCCTGTAATTATTACCATTATAAAACCCGCCATATAATAAAAGCACAATGCTAGGAAGGTGCTTGTATTCTGTTGTCCTGCCAGAATTCTTGCCTTAAGATTATTTTTGCCTGCCTAACAACTTTACACATGCCTCTCCCCTTCCTGTTATGGCACCTGGCCAGACCGCAACAAAGGTCCCCTCTGCACTATGTTGTAAATTAAAGGGCCCTTCTCCAGCTCTAGTCATGTGTATGACTTGCTAGGTTGGGATGTGGTTAAGGATGTATGGAAAAATTATGCTCATGATTCCATACACAGAGGAGTTCCATCTGTGTATTTTCTGAGGGCTGGGATAAAGATGTTTTAGATGTATATTTGAAAAAACTAGATGATCATGTGGGAAGCATATGTTTGCAAATGCAGTGTTCATGCAGATACATTCCTCAGGGAGCTGGATGTTGCTGTGGTGCCGATTCAGTGTGAAAAGATTTGTAATGTCATATATTGGGGAACAATGGGAAACTGGGCAAAAAGAGAAACTACAAGCTGAACCACAACTAGCCACAAGTACACTCATATCCATTGTAGAAGGCTAAATGCAAAGCTGGACAAGTTACACACACGTAAGAGTAAAATGCCAATGGAACAAAAGAATCTTCTTGTAATTCAGATTAATTTATAAGAGAAAATAAACACCCAGCACGGAGTTCACCCAGCATACAGGTAAAATCCTCTTGATCCCAAATGAGCTAGGGCTGGTTGACACAAGCATATACACCACTGGATTTCATAATATTTTTATGATTTGAACTTTAAAGTGGTACCACAGCAATTAATTGTGTTTGAAGCCATTTCTGAGCTCTCGGTCAATTGCCCGATCATGTATGCAAAGCCACCATTTTTATACATACTTGAAAATCAATTTACCTGCCTTCGATTCTGTGAAAATATCCTACCACTGGGCTACCAAAAGAAGAAATTTGGGTGGAAGGGCAACACTAATGGGGTCATGATTGGGCCCTTAATTTGAAAACCGTGAAAGAGAAACTGAACAAATCATTACAATAAGGAAAAATGGGATAGCGTGTTAAAGATAGCGTTTCCAGCTATACACTGGAGAACAATCAGCCCTAAGCTTTTAAAGTCCCAATTCATCCCATCAGTCCTCTTCACCTGCACCCACCCAGTCTCAAAAGAAACTTTGGGGAAAGGCAACTCATGCAATATATTAACGGTGTTGTGAAAATGAAACTCTCCCTACTGCTCCTTCTACAAAGATCTTTTAATTGCACGTTGATAACTTCAAATCTGGAGCACTTGAAAAACACTTGAAACTCTTCACATATGAATTAATGTTAGGTCAGATTAAGACTTATCCAGCCTATTCTCGCCTTGCAATTGCCCAAACTACGTGAGAGCCAAGAACATAATTTTGAAGCTTAGTGTGCTCTGTCAGGAAACTTATATTCTTGCCCTCCTGGGTTTTTCCAAGTCCACATATACTTTAAGCAGACTGGGCAAAATGAAGCGTATTGAGGCAGACAGGAAGGAAGCAGAATCATAACTTTAAAAATATTAATGAGGAATATCGTTGTCTGGTGCTTATATGCTCACCCCACCCACCCACCCCCCTATCAACTCTGCTTAGTTAGCCTCTGAGGTTTTAGTAATATTCCAAAAATCTGTTGAACTAAAAGGATAGAGAACGACCACACACAAGCAATGGGAAAAAAATGAATATATAAACAAAAGCCAATAATACATCTGTTTTCAAGCTATTTTCGTTTCTCGTAACTGCACTGGCTGCCTCTGTCCTTACATTTCTGGTGCCTATGGAGATTCTGCATTTCTGGTATCTAGGGAGATTACATTTCTAGTGTTTTGATTGTTTCCAAGTAAATTAAGGGTTCCCCTTTAAAACATCCTCAGCAGAGCACAGCAAACTATTTTGTACCAAAGCTGAACCTTGGACCGCCTGGCTCAAAACTGTCCCATGTGTCGATGGGGGCTCTTCAGGGTTTTAGACAGGAGACCTAGATCAGATGTCAGGAGCTGAATTCACTAAGTTATGCCTCTCCTATTGAGGCAGCCTCTTATGTCATAGTTCTACCAATGAACTGTCCTCATGCCCCCCCCACCCACCCACCCTAGCATCTTCCTCATAGCAAAAATATAAGCTCAGTCTTAAGAAACCAAAGAATATACCTTGCCTCGGTTTTAGCTTTCCTTTTGTATCTTTCTGTTATAATTTAGCCTAGAAGCCAAACCAGTGCCTGTCTCTCCCTGGTGATTATCATCCATGGGAAGGGATAACGGGAAGTATTAAAGCAGGGGGACAAATTCTGGGCATATCACGATGACATGTATTTTGATAGTTTGTATATAGTATATATGTGTGCGGATATTTTTTACCTATACATCTTTTTTTCTCTCCCTCTCCCTCTCTTTTTTAGAGAAAAAAAGCACCAATAAAAGGTTAATAAAACATATTTCCTCAGGAACAAAAAACAAAAGCAAAGCTAATTTGTTCGTTTTTTTTTAAAAACATAGCAAGACACTCAAGACATCAAATACATCTTCCTTTGGGTAACCAATTTCTTTTGTCCCCACACATTTCACTCTTTCCTAAGGCCGTGGGAACCACCAGTCCACGTGCAGTTATCACCATAATTTAAATGGAAGTAAACAAGCCAAGAAGGCAATGGGAAGAAAAGGGATGACCTATTGCTGGCACTTACCAGACAAATTATTGCAATCTTTTCTGGGCCACGGTATAGAAGTGAGTTTGTCATTGCTTTCTTCCAGAAGGGTTTTTTAATTTTCCAATCTGGCTTACAGCTGCAGTACTTTCTAATGGGTTTCCATCCAAATCTAACCAGATCTGCTTAGCTTCTGAGCCCAGACATGACCAAAATGTAATCTTATTCTCACTATGCAATGCACTGTTGGCAATTGAATTTTTTCATTACACTGATCAGATATGAATCTGATACTGATACTGATCTGATTCGTAACCCAGTATGAGTCCTTTTCATCAAATAATTAAAATAATTTCATCTGCTGTCAACACAATCACCTGCATCTTACGTTGCTGTACATACTAACTTTCTATTGACACAAAGACCAGCCAATCAGCACTCTACAAATTTCTAGTGAAAGTCAGAACCAGATTTTCAGGGTGTTGACTGGTTGGGTCCTTCATCACCCAGCCAGTTATGGATTTCCTAACCTTGTTCAGGGAGATCAATGGATCATATGCCTACTTTGAAAGCAATGAGTGAGCCGCCATAGTGGTTCAGGGCTAATGTAACACATTCACACATACACTGTTTTTGTTCTGAATATAGTGCCATGGTCAATAATAGCTTAAGGAAGCTGTTGACGACAAACCTCTGAGAAAAATGTGAGAAAAACTGCATCAGAAGTCTCTGGCCAATTTTCCTCTTGCCCCGACAGTGTATTTGTTAAGATGTAGGCAGCAGGTCATGCTTCCTAATGAGCTTGTAAAACTGAATTATGATCAAAAAGAAGACTTCCATGTAAAGCTGAAAATATACTAAGAGGTCAAATCAGGCTTTTCAGAGCCATAAGTGAAACCATCAGTTAAAAAAAGAAAGAAACCTTTTTGCTTAAGGCCAGCAATGTCTCATTTCATTAGTTTAGGTCAGGGATAGGCAACCATGGCTCTTTTATGACTCGGGGACTTCAACTCCCAGAATTCCGGAGCTAGCATGGCTCAGCATGGAAACCTCTCCCTTTCCCCTCAGCATGGCTGGCTCAGGAATTCTGGGACTTGAAGTCCACGAGTCATAAAAGAGCCAAGGTTGCCTACCCCTGGTTTAGGTCTATCTTTCTCAACCTTTACTGGCTGGGGAATTCTGGGAATTGAAGTGAGGGGTCCTAGTGCTAGTCTGATGATGTTACCTAGTTAGGATAATGAAATATCTGCAAGAAAACAAACAAGCTCAGAGAGCACCAAGGACCCCTAATTTTAACCCTGAGCTACAAATATTCTGCTTCATGGGGAGTTGAAGTCTCCATATCTTAAAACTGCCAAGATTGAAAAACACTGGTGTAAATCATGGAGCTCCTATGATAAATTTTTTGAACTCAGTTCTAACACAAGTCAGATTTTCAAAGGATTCATTGTCTGAAATGGGGAGATGCATGATTTGGGAAAACTAAAGAAGATTACTCATGAGATTCAAATTGAGAGGGAATGGGAATATGCTTACTTTATTTTTTCTTCTTCTTTTTTTCCACTCAATTGTGTTCAATTCTTGAGAAGAAATTGATGGTACTTCTAAACAGCTAAAAGGCTGGCAAGAATTAAACAGTGTTTTTGTGAACAGATGGGAGAAAGCTTCGTTTGGACATTCATAAAATTCATAAAATTGTTAAGGGTATGAAAGATCTGCTAGAAAAAAACCCAACAAAAATGAATTTTCCCTCTTTTATACAACTAAAAGATAAATGAGATCCCTAAAATGGCAAGTTCAGCCAAAAACAAAAGTGTTTTATTATCAAACACTTTCCTTGGCCAGTCACAAATCTCACTGAGAAATAGGTTATATGTGGTGTGAGCCATAGAATTCAGTCACATTTATTTCTTTTCAAACCAGTTCTAAACCATCATTTTGTAAAGGGACTGGGGTTTTGTTAATAATAGTCAAACATTACCTTGATGATTCCCAGGTTATTTGGCAAGAAACAACAGCCATTTCAAAAGGGGTTTCAATTTTATTTTGGGGAAAACTCGTATGCCCTAATAATGATTTAGAAGGCATCTTCTAAAGATTTTGCCTATGCTAGCACAAGTTCATAAGATTTGTAGTCCAACACATCTGATGGGCAGTTGGGGAAAATAATCCTGAAGAATTATGGTTTCACGAGTACAGAGGCTATTTGGCACTATGACATCAGACAGGAGACTAAGCCAAGGGCTGGTGTGACATCACTTCATCTGGTGAGAGTTTTTTCCCTCCAGCACATAATTCCAAATAATTACTGGAATAAAAGTGTTCTATTCTTTATAGATTTGTCTGGATTGGAATCTGCATCTAAACAGAACTTGTGTCACTGTTTAAAGCCAAAGTGCTTCTAGTCATATGATTTCTCTTGTAGATTCTCATCAGTTGTTTATTGGGTATGAGTATGGCATCTTTTTGCTAAGATATACGAGCTAAAAAATTTGACCAACTAAAAAAATGTTGAAGAAGGAAGATGCAGAGATCCATCTTTGCTAACAAAACATAGTCCTGAAAATGATGGTAACCTACGCTGCTGTGATTGGTGCAGTGAGCTTCACAGCACCAATGCTTGCTTCAGAAACACATTATCTGTGATCCCATATGTCTTGAGAATAAAGCAATCCATATCCAAAAAAAGGTATCAACAAAGTCATTCAGCACTTGTCTCAAAGATGCTAGCAAATTCGGTAAGAAGCATCTCTACCACCTGATTCTGGTATATCATATCCTCTATCAGGCTGGCTACATCTCGCTCATGTCGCAACAGCGTTGGCCCAAAAACAATGCCGATGTTCTGGGTGGTCATCCGATTGGTATCTGAGTGATCCATCACCCTGAATGGGGAAAAAACGTTGTAATGAGAACACCACACTATTTTGGCCCCTTTCAACGCATCCATTGCTAAAGTAGACAGCCAGATTTAATTGAGATTTCATTTCTAAAATAAAACATACCGAAAATCATTTTCCTTGACCTGTAATCCATTTGATTGGCTAAATAGCCAATCAAAGACACATCAGTCAGGGCAGCAAATCGTAAGAGAAAGAAAAGACAAATGTATGAAATTGCTTCTTCGACAAAGCAATCTTTGGATATCCTGTCATTTCTGTTTCCTTATTCCCAAAGTTAACTCCAAAATCAAATTTACAGGCAGTTGCTCAAATTATCCATGTAAGGCAATGATTTCCATTTAAATTCCCCTCCAGAAGGCAAAATATGGTTCTACACCACCTCATGTCCAGGAAGTGTTAACCCAAATATTCAACTCAATTTTCAACTCAATTTTCAATTCTCATGACTGATGAGTCTGTATGAAGTTGGGGAATCCACTGCAACTGAGGTTAAGAGGAGATGGGACTGCCTGAAATGACTTCCTTATCCGTGGTCAAAATCAGTGGCACCATTCAAAGCCTACAGGTCTTTCAAGAACATTTTAGCTGGCCGTGTAGTACAAGTTGTAACAGCAAAACCGCTGATATTGCTAGTGCTCAGTTAGTCTGCTCAGCTATAGAACAGTCCAATAATCCTGTACAGGTAGCCCTCGACTTACGATCACAATTGAACCCAAAATTTATGCTGATAAGCAAGACAGACACTAAGCGAGTTTTGCCTCCTTTAACCACTTTTCCTGCCACAATTGTTAAGGGAATCACTGTGGTTGTTCAGTTAGTAACACGGTTGTTAAGCGAGTAAGGCTTTCCCATTGACTTTGTTTCTCAAAAGGTCACCAAAAAAAGTGATCACATGATCCCGGGACACTGCAATGATGCGCCAGTTGACAAAGTTCCAAATTTTCATCACGGGACCGTGGGGATGCTGTGATGGTCGTAAGTGTGAAAATCGGTCACTTTTTCAGTGCCACCATAACTTTGAAGGGTCACTTGTAAGTAGAGGACTACCTGTACTCAGATGCAGGAAAATTCGTAAGTATGAATATGCAAACGTTCTTTTAAAATGTGAATCCCAGTCTGAATTTTCAGGTTTAGCTTCCTAAAATATGCATAACAAGAAGTAATTGCAAGAGTAGCCTCCGTTTAACGAATAGATTCTTTTTACTGCTTCTTGTTCAAAGATGTGAACGAGTAATTGCTCTTCAGTTCATCTGCTTTGTTTCCTAGCTTTGTGAAAGAGAAGTTTAAGCATTAGTTTCCTTTCGCTATTTTTTTTCCCTACTGGTGACTTTGTTTGCTCTGCTATACAAGAAAAAAGGAGACTTAATACAGGTAGTCCTCAACTCACAAAAGTTCGTTTAGTGACTATTTGAAGTTATGAAAGCACTGAAAACAACGAATTCTGACCACTTTCGCACATGACCGTTGCAGCGTCCCCACGATCATGTAATCAAAATTCAGATGCTTGGCAACTGGCGTGTATTTATGACAGTTGCGGTGTGTCCCAGGGTCACCTAATCACCTTTTTGTGACCTTCTGACCAGCAAAGTCAAGAGGAAAACCAGATTCACTTAATCACTGTATTATTAATTGAACAAGTACAGTGATTCACCTAAACAACTGTGGCACGAAAGGCTGTGAAATTGGGGCTAAATTCACTTGACAACGGTCTCACTTAGCAACAGAAATGTTGGGCTTCATTGTGGCTGTAAGTCGAGGACTGCCTGAAACAAAAGCCTGATTCTGCCAGGAAGAAAGTATTATTTGAGGTAATTTACTTGCGGAGGTGCTGAAGTAAGTAACGCAATGTGTCCCGGTTTGGTTGAGGGAGACTCTGGATCAGCCCAGTAAGCTTTGACACTTTTTCCTTGTGATCGGATATCTCTGTGCAGAGAAAAGCAAAAGGTTTTTGTTTTGTTTTGTTTTCCAGCTGAGGAATGAAAGACAATCTAACTTCCAAAGGGCAGATCAGAAATCTCCATCACATTGCTATTACTATAGATTACATCCTGAGCTCATTTTGGAGAAGAAAATAAATTGTAATTGGGATGATAGGATTGTTGATACAACAGTCTTACCCACCCACCCACCCCCCTCCACTTAGCCATAGAAAAGGTGGGCTTGGGGTCAATGGCTCAAACAAATAACAAATCCAAATAAAGATTAAATAGAGAAAACTGCCTCATGCCTTATCTTTGAAACAGAATATCATGGCAGGATGCATGACTACAGAAGCTAAGGCAGGGGTAGGCAACCTTGGCCCTTTTATGACTTGTGGACTTCAACTCCCAGAATTCCTGAGCCAGCCATGCTGAGGAGAAAGGGAGAGGTTTCCAAGCTGATCCATGCTGGCTCAGGAATTCTGGGAGTTGAAGTCCATGAGTCATAAAAGAGCCAAGGTTGCCTACCCCTGAGCTAAGGGAACACCACCACAATGAGATCAAAACATTCTTTTTCAACTACTCTTGGGGTGGTACGTGAAGAAACACAGCAAGATGGATACCTCTTTGGCTAGCTTCTTACCACTCCTCCTTGTGCTTTATAGAGGGTTCCCTGCATTATGAAAAAACTGACTTCAAATGCTCCATGTGTATGTGCCTCTGTACAAGCACTGGCATTTATTCATTCATTTGTTCATAAGTTTTCTACGTTCGTTCGTTCGTTCAGTTGTTCATTCATTCACATTTATTGTAGAAACCACCCATCTCCCTCACAGAGGGACTCTCGGCAGTGTACAAATAATATATACATGTATAATATATGTACATATGTGTAATAAACTCTTCAAATAATATATACAATATAATTACATATATACCAACATATGGATTGAAACATACGGAATGTAATATAAGTTTCAAAAACCGAAACCATCTTTAAATCAACTACAAAGCTGATTGGAAAGCTGGCATGTATGTACCTGCGTTGATGATGGCTTAAATGCTAGCCAATGAGAGTTTTAACTGAATTATGCTGAAAGTTACAAGAACAATATTTGGAAGATGATGCAGGGCAAGCAAAAAGTGTATTTTTCATATTGATCATATAATTATTTAAGATTCCCCAGCCCCTCTAGCAACATTGCATTCTCTGCATTCAATGAACTATTATGTTCCCGAAGCAAAAAATTAAGATACCCATAGATAATCTGAAGTATATCTCATATTGGAGAATTAGGAAAGCCTGAGATGTCTTCCCCCCCCCCTCCTCTGGTGAAAACCAAGATAGACAATTTCGTTTTATATAACACCTTTTCTAAAAATGAATTGCAATATTACAGAAAAGTCACAGGTTTTTAATCCTGGCTCAGAATGAACCTCTGCTGGACTCATATATTTGTGTTTGTCAAATGCTGAGGGGCAAGAAGTAGGAGGCAGACTTACTGACAGAAGCTATAAATTCATCAATGTGGCTGTAGGGCACTAGGGATTCAGGTAACTCTCGGAAGAAAAGCTTCAAGGCCCCTGTTATCACATGCACATCATCCCACTGTGGACTGGCCAGGTTCAATTTCTCCTCTAGGATACAAGGAAGAAAAAGACTGCTTCACCAAAAAGGGCAGAGTCATATCAAAGGGGACTTTTTTTCAATGTGACATCTTTCTGCTTTGTTGGCAGAGAGAGTGAACAAATACCTATTAAGGGACTGAAGTATAACTCCTAATCAATCGGAATGGGATAACTTGCCACAGCCAACTCGCCTTGGCCGATTCGTGGCAGGACAACTCGCCATGGGATAACTTGCTACGGGGTAATTTAACAATTCAATTTAATTATTTAAAATAAACAAAAACCTATTTTTAATTTTTGTCATTCAGATTTCATTTTGTACCTGTTTTTGCATCCCTTCTTTATTGATTCTTTTCCATCGTTTCTTTGATATTAGGGTAACTTGTCTGCAGTGAGTTGGCCATGGCAAGTTGGCCACGGCAAGTTGACCTAGTTGGCCAGGCTGAGCTGGCCATTGCAAGTTGGCTGCAGTGAACTGTCATAGACCCCTAACTGGTGAAGAATGTTGAGAGATGCATTTCAGCAAAAGCTGAGATGTTATTAAGTTCCCTGGCAATTTTTTTACAAGCATGAATAAATGGGGACAATGTTAATGCAGCTTCTCCTCTTTCCATGCTCTTTTCAGCTATGGCTCTTTCACTTAAGGGGCATAGCAAACCTGGACTTCCTGGTCTATTTTTTTTTTTTTAATAACAGGCAGGGGAAAAAAAGATACAGTAATTTGGCAAGCTTGAAAGATAATTCGAACAGAATAGAAAGGTCCAACCACTTCATTATCTGTTTTACTGGAAATGTTTGAGGCTATCGCTTGCCAACTCCTGCTGATTTTATAGGGAACGCTGATGCTAACTCCAAATTGTAAGAACAGGAAGGTTATTTGCAAAAATAAAATATTGCCTTGACATCTTCACACTTGTGTTAGATTAGAAGAAAAAAGTGAATGAGTGCAAGTAGTCTGAAATACTCTTGACTCCAGGTACTCATTTGCATCTGGCTGCCTTAAACTCTTACACATTTGTGAGCCCATTGGTATCAATGAAAGACGTAATCATAATAATAGTAATAATAATAATGTCCAAAAACTTTGCAAAATACATCAAGAAACTGCAGCTTCCTGCAAATAACTCCAACAATGTTACAAAAAACTGCACTACTCGGAACATCTTATATTTTAAGGATACCTGGTTGACACCTAGGATGCTGGTAGCAACCTGTGTCAACCATCAGCGCCAGCCAATTTGAATGTTCAGTTGACTGAGGTTCATGTTTAATGAATAAAATATAATAATAATAATAATAATAATAATAATAATAATAGTTGGAAGGGACTGGAGGTCATCTAGTCCAACCCCCTGCTCAGGCAGGAAACCCTATATCATTTTGGACAAATGGCTGTCCAGTCTCTTCTTAAAAACTTCCAGTGTTGGAGCACTCACCGCTTCTGGGATATAATCCTCCAGCTGCCCAGTGGGTGGTTTCTCTAGTGGAGGGGTCTTCAAACTTAGCCCTTTTATGACTTATGAACTTCAACTCCCAGAATTCCTCAGCCAGGCACGCTGGCTGAGGAATTCTGGGAGCTGAAGTCCACAAGTCATAAAAGGGCCAAGTTTGAAGACCCCTGTTCTAGTGGGACAGTTTCTAGGACATTGAAAGAGTCCCCAACACATCTGCGAAAAGCTCTGCATACATAGATACCAAGTCCTTGAAATGACCCCCCTCTTTTCTTTTCCTGATAGAACTCCCAAAAGGCAAGATTCTCACGACTGCTCTAGCTGATGTAGCTAACTTTCTTTTCTTGGGACAGTTCAATTAAACTGCAGAGACTCCGGAGGAAGGAGAGAAGACATTGGGTAAACCTAGATTTGACTCTCACTTAATTGTGGCTATGGCAACAAATCCAACTTGAGTCACAAGAGGCTAGTGTGATCCACAAACTAAAAGAAGGACCTTCCAAGTCCAAAGATGAATATTTATTTTACCAAATAAATACGGCTGCTCATCTTACATAGGAATGCTGAGCACAAAAATTGGATTCTCATATTCTCTCTCTCTCTCTCTCTCTCTCTCTCTCTCCCTCCCTCCCTCCCTCCTTCCCTCCCTTTCTCTCTCTGGGTCAAAACGAACAAAAACTCCATTGGGGATTGTTGTTATTTTTTAAAAAATTATTCCCTTTGAAGGAGGCTTGTACGAATTCAGAATATGCACCCTATGTTCAAAACATAACTTGGTTTCATTAAAGTCCCCTGCCTTTTTCATGGCTTCTGGTAATCAGGGTTGCTATTTCAAAGATTGAGGGACAGAAACATTACCTTGGCAACGTTGCTCTGGGAAGACATAGCGTCCATCGGATGTCACTGCCCGTTCTGCAAAGCAGCACAGTGGTTATTGAGGATGCCACAGGAGAAACAATATCTTATGGCAAAGGGGGAAGACAGGTTTGAAGGTGGCCAGAATGTGTCCCTTCATTCTGGATGAGTTTATGGAATACTGAGACTTAAGGTGGCTTGTCTATTGTTCTTTTCCTGCAGTGTAGAATTCAGCCATTGTCACCTTTTCATTTTTTGTTTTCTATCCTGCTTTAAGTTCTGGTAAACAGAATTTTCTTCCTATTTTTTTTTTTTTAGAGAGGTTTATGATCTTCTGCATTGTCTAGCAAACTTTGTGCAGCTTTAGCAACTGGAACAGTTCTGAACTATCTGCTGGGATAAGTGCTGTAAATGAAGACCGCTCTGATATCCACATTGGATCAGAAAAACCAAAAATTAGATGATAAGGGATAGAGATGAGAAGAAGACTATGCCATGTGCATGTTCTTGAAGAATGGTTAGCAAGGCATCTTTGAGCTGAAATGAGGAAGTCTTGTTCCTCTAGTCAGCTTGCTTTCTTCTATAATTTTCCCATATATTAAAGGGAGATAGATGATAGATGATGATAGAGATAGATGACAGATAGATATAGACAGATATAGATGATGATAGATATAGATATATAGAGATATGGAGATAGATAGATGATTGATTTAGATAGATAGATAGATAGATAGATAGAGAGAGAGAGAGAGAGAGAGAGAGAGAGATAGATAAATAGAGAGATAGAGAGAGATGATAGATAGTTCCCTCAGATACTCTCATTTAGTGTTTCTCAACCTTAGCAACTTTAAAATATGTGGACTTCAGCTCCTAAAATTCCCCAGTCAGGATGAAGTCCATATATCTTAAAGTTGCTGAGGTTGAGAAACACTGCTCTAATTCATCTAATTGCAAAAGAAAAAAATATTATAGTATGAGGACAGTAGTTCCTCTAATGTCATAAGGGTAGCCAATAAATGTTTTCTATCTTTGAGTTTAGAGAAAGAAATATATACCGTAGTATGTGATGCTAACTGCAATGATAGTATTTCCAACAAACCTTCTGCCCTTGAAATGCTTTATCTCTTCACCTAAAGTAAAGTAACATAGGTTTCGGAGGCTTAGACATGCCTCCTACAACTCCATGTTCACCATTTATCATTCTATAAGTACTCACCACGGTCAACTATGAATCTCAGCTTCTGAATAATGGCCAAGTTCCCATTGACCCTATAGATCCCATCTGCATCCAGTCCTGAAAGAGAAAGATAGAACTGCTATGAATTCCCCACTTAAAACTATGGAGTGCCAGAACTAGGGCAAAGATCCTAGCTGAGGCAGAGATGGAATGATGATTCAAGGATTCCCTACCTCTCTCTTCTACAGCTTCCACACATTGTTGGACAAATCGGGGTACTGTGCCCCCTTCTCGCTGGCACAAGGCTTCTAGCCGACAGCCAAAGACCTGATCTGGGAATAAAAATGGAAATAAAATAAAAATACCCGTGGATTAAAATCAACATGTTAAACCTTTCGTTGCTAGTTCTACTTATTTTGTTTTAAACTCCATGCTCAAATAAAAATAAAAATTGTAAAAAAACAAATCTATGCCACTTGTTTCTCTCAGCCACATAAAATTCATGGTCCCTCAGAATTTTTAAACTCAGATTTGTGAATTTTAGCAATAGTGATATGATCCAGGAATGCTAGAAACAAGAAAAAACTTAAATTTGTCTTGAGATCTGGATGAATCTGATCCTGTTGATGTTTCAAAGAGCTTTGAAGATCTGGGTCTTCACTAGGCCTTTGATGAGGGTAAATGAACTCCTCTTGGATAATGTGAGGTAATTTTTCTTTCATTCCGGACCAGTTTTTGTCATCTTCGCCATTTTTATTCTTTTATTTTGTCTCTCATTATATTCTCTTCTTGTTTTTACTTGTGAGCTATCCAGAGCCGTTGATAGTTGGGCAGGATACTAATTCAATAAATAAGTATCTAAGGCAGTGTTTCTCAACCTTGACAATTTTAAGGCATGTGGACTTCAACTCCCAGAATTCCACAGCCAACATTGCTGGCTGTGGAATTCTGGGAGTTGAAGTCCACATGCCTTAAAATTGTCAAGGTTGAGAAACACTGATCTAAGGATAAGGCCAATTTTTCCCCATGACAACCTTGAGGAAGGCCAGACTAAAAAAAAAAAATGTGGCTCAGGATGGGTAAGAGCCTGGTTTTAATGGTGCAACACTTTCACCATTAAACCACACTAACTTTAAAAATAAATAAATAAATGCAGCAAGATTTTTGCTGTGCTAGATATATAGGGAAGTAGAAACAGTCTGGTGATAATTTTTTTATTAAAGGTAGCAAATGTATTAATTGTCATGGCACTTATTCCTGTGTGTCCGGAAAATCACATATTTTTTTGTCACAGTTACAAGAATCCTGGTCAAAATTCTAGTCATTTGTCTCAATGTTTCCAAACTATCACTGGAAGCATTATGATAATGTGCCCCAAGCCCCGATAGGGTACAAAAATAACTCCGTTGCAATGCTGACTTTCTGTACCTTTGAAAATGCATAATCTCTATCCAGCCTCCATTGCAATGAAATTACAGGGATCTGCACCATTACCTCGGATCAGTCCTTTCTCCTGTAAACTTCTCAGGGGTGGCCTCTTGGCGATGAAGCGTCTCAGCTTGCTTCTGACCCTTTTCTTGTAGACTCTGCCAGGACTACCAGGGGCTAGAGGTGGAAGAAACAGAAGCCAAGAGAAGTTAAGGCAGTTTCATATGTCTATTTTTGACAACTTTTAGCACCCTCCCCCAACCCTACCCAGAACTTTCTGGTCTCAAACCTGCTGGCACTTCAGCCTTGGAGACCCCAAGTTCCTCTTCATCATCCCAGCTGAAATCCACAAGCTCAGCACTGTTGGACCGATAGAGTGGGTATAGAAGTGGCTCATCCAGAGGATTCTCTTGATCCTACAGTGGAGCAAGGAAGGAGCTTAATCCAGAGAAATTAGCAATCAGATGGGATGGGGCGAAATGGGCAAATGCACTGCCATGAACTACAAAAGTTCTGTTTCAAAGATATACAACCTTGGATTGATATGCTTAGGATTTCATAATGATCTGCCATTGTGATAAACCCATGGTAGAAAAGGGAGAGAGAGAGAAGTCCTTTAGGGTCATGAAGAACTACAAACTCAATAAAGGATAGTCCTTTTTGTGGACTCTTTACTGAATTTGAAGGGTTGGCAACTAGCACTCTGCAAAATTGGGGGACTTCAGTGCCCATCAAGGCCAATTATAGCACAAACAATTATATGGCATGATAAAATTTTCCTAACCAGTTTGATGTGGTGGTTAAGACACAAGACGAAAACTGGGACCCTGTGAGTTGTAACCCTGCCTTAGGCAAGGAAGCCAGCTAGGTGAACTTGGGTCAGTCACTTTCTTAGTCCTAGGAAGGAGGTAAGGGGAAATCTCTCCCCCAAACCTTGCCACATATAGTGCATAATATTGCTTGCGCATTTGCCAAGAGACAAAACTAACTTGAAGGCATCCACACAGAGTCAAAAAAGAGATTTTAGTCTAGAAGGCTCCAGGCTGCTTTCCATTGAGGCAATGTTAACTGGATAACAGTCTCCATCCTGGACAGAGTGAAAGAATTTAGGAACATCTTTTTTTTCTAACAGCAATATTTCAAAGAAGAAAGGAAGAGACTGAGATAACTTAAAGTTCTTGGTATCTTTCACTCACTAGCCTGTGGATGACCCCTTTGATCGCCTGGTACCAGTCCTGGCTGACAGCTTCATTATCTGATTGCAAGAGATACTCATTGCCAGTCACAGTGCGAAACTAAGAAGAAACAAGGCGAGAACAAATTGAGTTAGGCAACAATTCCATTTAACCTGATCTCAAGCTCTTTTTTAAAAAACAACAACAAATTTTATTAATTTTCCATTTTTACAAACCTTTGGGTATTTAAGGAAGCAACATGGTGGTTGGGTAATACATAGTCCAATAACACGCTTATCCATACATATTAGGATACATCAAAAATTTCCTCTCTGTTTCCCTTAATCATTATACCAAATTCAAATTAGTAAGTTGCTAGTTATAACTCAATCCATTTAAAACATTTAAAAACAACTTTTAGATTATATATCTCCGAATCCTGTTTTTAACTTTTGTCTGCTTTCAGTTAGAATATTCCAGTTGGCTTACTGTCCAATAATGTTTAAGTTTCGGATAGCCCACGGTTCCCTTAATTCATACAAAATAATATCATATCTAAAATACACTTATTATTTATTCCAGTAAATTCTTAATTTATTTCACCATCATATTCTAATTCTCATTTTAATATTATCGCTTACTCATAAAATAACCTTTATCCTCTAAATCCATCTTCTATTTATAATTCAAAACAATTATTTAAGTAACTAATTTATTTCCCTTATAGATATAGATCCTAACTATTAAATCCAATAATATCTTTTAAAATCTCCTTGGCTCGTTACATAAAGCTTAAAGCTCTTCCCTTAGGTATCACACAAAGAAAACCATTTTTTTTAAGTCTAACTTTGGCCTTTCTTTTATGCCAAGCTGGCTTCCATAAAAATGCTTTTAGATCCTCAAGTGGCTCTCCCTTCCTTCCTGGATATATCATTTGAAACAGGGGAGACCATCAGAACATCAGCCTATCAAGGAAGCCAGTCCCTTCACAGTCTTTGAATTGTTGGCCAAATGGTTTAAATCTCCATATCTGAGTTAATGTATTTATCATATGTTCAGGCTGGTCTTCTTCTTCTGGTTTCAGTTGAAGTAGATGAAAATTCATGTTCGATGTTGTAGTTATTTTTGGAACATCTAGATTATCTAGAATCTCAGTGTATTGTCATAAATCCTCTGCAAGTTCCATCTTAGCATTGCTTTGTTCAGTTTCTGTTGCTGTTGTAGTTATAAAGTCTTTAAGTGAGATCAAAATTTGGGTGTTAAAGTTCTAAGTAGATTGTTCCTGGCATTCTTTAAAATCCACTTTGTTATTAGTTCCTTCTCCTGTTGTTTTTTGAAGTGTGGATTCCTCTAATGGGATTAAAGCTGCATTTTGTGGCTTTAAAGTGGCACGTAAGTCTTTCATTCTAGAATTCATTAGCTCAGTAGCCTCTAGAATTTTTTCAAGTATAAGTTTGACATTAGGCTGTGGGTGGTATTCCTCCATTTCTGTAATGTTATAGTCCTTTAGTGGAGGCTATTTTTAATAAGAGTCAATAACTGTCCACCTCCACTGTAAAGAAACATTTTCACCACCCAGCAATTTCAAGTTCTTATCTTTTGGTTGCTGTCAAGGACAAATTTTAGTCTTAGAGATCTCCCTGTCAGAAAAAAATTATTCCACTTGCTGTACTACATTTCACCACTAGATGTCCCCAGTGACATACAAAATAGGGCTTTTTTTGGTTCAAGAGAGGAAACAAAGAACATTCCCTTTTTTTCCCCAAGTTAACAAAAAAGTAAAGCAATAGGTTTTTGTCGAGATACAGAGCTTTTAGGGAGCCCAGGTATTCAGATATTACAAGTCCAGGTAAGTGGTCATTTAATCTTGTTATTCCTTGTGTGTGTGTGTGTGTGTGTGTGTGTGTGTGTGTGTGTGTGTGTGTTTCTTGGCTTTATATTCCCGAAGTGAGCAAAAGCCGTGGAATTCAGCTGGGGGAATGGGGTATTTCAAACTTTTTTACAGGAAAGTAGTTGGGAAGGAGAAAAGGAAAAATAGGATCTCACCCAACTCCCCCAGTTGTTTCTTCATGCTTAGTTAGTGCTTTGGGCTTTTGGCTGGTTCGACTAAGTGAGCGGCCATGTTAATGAACGCTCTTTTCGTCTTCGGTCCTGAGGAGTTACTGCAGATCAAACGGAGAGGCTGCCGCTCCTCTGCCATCCAACAAGAGTCCCCCCCCAAATGGTGGTCACCCCTCCAGGGCGACTTTCGACCCTTTCCAGGGTATTCCGAAGGAGAAAAACCGGACGGCAGGGAGAAGGATCTCTCCGCATGTCTGCCAGCGTCAAAAACCAGAACCCATCAAGCTATTCTAATAGATCCTTACCACCTAAGACTATAGAAGGAATCCTAACTTAATTTTAAATGATTATGACAACAACTTCATGTAATCATTCCTGTTGTATTCCTCTACTTGTGGGCAGGTGACCAAACCAGGAAAGGATAGCTTAGTGTTACAACTGAACTTGGAATTGTAGTGAAGCAGCCAGAGAAACCAGAGTATATTAACCAAGTATCTTGATTTAAAACAGGACCGCTGTGAGTCAATTCTGAAGAACTAACAAGCTTATAGTGGGACAATGAAGGTTAGTCCCCAGTTGTATGAAATCTCACTCCAAATATCTCAGGTCAAGATGGACTGGGGTTCCCACACTTACATGGATGACATTCCGTTTGCTGGACAAATCCCGGGCCCACTCAATACGAGCCCCACGCAAATCAACACTGCTTTCAGGCCGGCTACCAGATGGAGTCTGCAGGAAAAAAGATCATAGGTTAGGAGGTTCCCTATACCCCATTGCCAGACTTGATCTGTGCCAGAAGTCTCTGAGAAGGGACGAGGAAGATGGGTACTAGTCCATGCTTACTTCCTTATTGATTTATCACAGCAGCAGAGACTTTTGGATGGATAGCTGAGAGGTGGAGGGGGAAGGGGAGAAAAAAGAGACAGAGAAACATATATGCATACAGCAGTGGTCCCCAACATTTGGGGCACCAGGGACCGATTCCATGGAGAGAGGTTTTTCTGTGGAGCAGAGGGTGCGTGGTTTTGTGTGCTGCCTGCATCTTGTGGATGGGGCTTTGCTTGTTTGTGCGGACTGGTTGCTGGCATGCCGCAGCTCAGTACTGGTCCACAGACCAGGAGTTGGGGACCTCTGGCATACAGTATATACATGGACACACGTCATCTCTGAACAATACTGGCAATGAGCATATCTAAAGAGTGTATTAGATCCCCAAATGGGCAAGATCACCCCTTTTATTCAAAAGTCTCTCCCTTTTCCTTTCAGCCAGCAATCTCTCCAAGGACACCTGTATGACTTTTCCAGAGATTGAGCTGACTTCTTCCAGAAAGCTTTTAAATTAGTGAGAGGGATGTACAAAGCTAGACTGCCAACCATACAAGACCTTAGGCTGCCTTTCCTATTTTGCCATTTAAGCATCTGTCTGCTGCTGCACTCACCCATGCAGCTGTCACCTTGGGGTCCTTGTAGAACATGAGGCTGTTCCTGGCTAATACCAACCACGATGGTGTCCAGGACTTTCTGGAGGTAGAGGAAAATGAGAGAAGCTGGAGCCCAGCCCGCCAGAGCCATAAACAAAACATACAACCTTCCCTGGCTGCCAAATATAAAAGTGTCAAAAGGTGCTTGAAGAGTCAACATCAATGTTCCCACATGCCACCATCTGGCACTAAAAGGATCTGTTTGTGCTTGGAATAACCTCTGCAATGTAATAAATTACCATATTCAACGTGCCAGTGACCAAATATTGGAGGAGACACCAAAGAAGAGCAATCTTGCTGATAGTTTCTGGTCTCAAAAACATTTCCTGCATTTTCAAATCATAAATGAGAAATGCCACTCTCCCCCTTTCTTGCTAAACAATTGCTAATGAAATAATAGACTGATGGAGACAAAAGTATTATGAACTGGGGTTAGGAAACATCCTGTTGACTTTCTTCCTTCAAGGTCTTTTTTTGAGAAGAGAATATCCTGAACTCACACTTATTCTGAACTTGCTTTCATTAGCACAGTGCTAAGTGTTGGACCTGCGTACAAGTTCAGTTCATGCTGTACATACAGCCATCATTTGACAAGTATAAGTGGGCATGTATCTTCTCTGACATCTCCACTATGTCCCATTTCCCTGGATTTGCTTCCCCTCCTTTCCCTTACAAAAAGGCTGGGTTCTGCCTTATTATGTATTGGAATACAAGTCAGAATGTATTTTGTATTGCAAAAACTACAGAATCATTCAGCCAGTAGATGGCAGGTTTTAGTGTGCATCTATGATTATACTCTATGGTTTATGTTCTGTGGAGTTTCCTGAGACAGTTGTGACAGTTCAAACCGATAAGCAGCAAGGCCCATATTGACTGTGTACTCTGTACATTTTATTTGATCTGAATGGCTATGTAATCATCCTCTGCTACCAATCGGAATGGCTATACAATAATCTTCTGCTACCATTTCTATATAATAAAACAGATTTTCAAAATTTTGCCCTCCTATTCCTCTTCGGATTTATGTCAGTGACTCAGAAGGTCCTGTTGTGATTCCTCGCCAGCCAGTGGACCCGACAGCTGAGTCTGAGGAATCAGAGGAGGAGGAGGAGGAGGGGCCTGGAGTGACATCAGAGTCAGAGGAAGGCTCTGAGTAGCTCCAAGACTTACAGTCTGACGGGGAGCCTGGCCCCTCTACTTGCACTCAGGCTGAGACACAGCTATGCTGGAAGTCTGAGTTAGACAGTGATGAATCACAACTGGGAGATATCCAGGATGCACGAACATGCTGGCAAGAAAAGAGAGTAGGACAGAGGAATGCAATGGGGTGACTCCAAAGGAAAAGGAGAAGGCATTAGGAAGCCACGCCTTGGCTGCATAATAAAAGGGAAGGTGTGGAAGGTGCTAGTTGCCGAAGGTAACCGTTCATGTTGAGGATCGAGTTTCTGTGAACTGTGTTTGTTTGCCTTGGACATTGACTCAGGTCTGTGAATAATAAAAGGGGATTGGTTTTTTCCTGCGGTTCCAGCCTGCTTGTTGGAAGAGGGGTTTCTCTTCCAACTCACGTAGGCTAGGACAGAACAGGTCCATTATATTCACTAATGCCCCTTTCCCTCCTTTTTGTCTATTCAAACCAGGACACTGCTTGTCAAAATTCCTTCAGTTGTGAAATGCTTCTCAGTCAGAGCTGGAGAGGTAGCCAAATGAGGACTGAGAAGCACAAATGCCCCAGATTTTTCCTAGATGGACAATGAAGAAGGTATCCCTCCTCAAGCCCCCCCTTCCAGGGAGACTTTAACGGCATACCTGAGTTTCCGACCTCCTTCAGCAATCTTGGTTTTGTTCAGTTGTCCACATTTCTCCACCACCTGCCAAAAGAAAACAATGTCCACAAACTTGCAGCCCTAGCTGTATTCTGTGGTCCTTCCTGAAATCCATACTACTCCCCATATTCCCAGTTCTTTATAGATCTTTAATTTCCTTCAAACTCGGGCTCCACTGCTAACTCTCCTACTGGATCAGTTGAGAGAGGAACTTCCCTAATGTGGCTGAGCTGCAACCCGTAGCAGCCCCAGTCCACACAGTCAGTGATGAGGATCTGTAGTTTGGTGGCATCTGGGGGACTGTAAGTTTCCCAAACCCAATGTGCAAATATGGGCAGTGAGATACAATCATTTTTCAGAGAAGACAGAGAAGAAACACACTGGTACACACATGCTAAAAAGGACAGATGGAGATGGCAAAACCAAGAATAGGGCAGGTGTATCTTCTGAATGCACCGATCCTAGTCCCAGCTAGAGATTTCATCTCCAACAATTCTCTTCCTTTCCATGCCTGCTTCTCTAGCTTGATTTCCTTTTACTTATTTCATTCTCTAGATCCTTCTACATTCTCTTTACCATCTCCTTTGCCCCTCCAAATCTCATTTTTCTTCCTGGGCAACATTCCCAATCTCAGCTGAGCCAAATGAAGAAAGAAAGCAGCAGGATAGACCCACTCCAAAACCCAGAAGGTGACTATCTCTGGCATGGCATAACTGGCCTCTGGGGCTAAGCAAGAGAGAACATCTTTCTTCATATCCTTTCAGATAGCGGTGACTGAGGGCACTGCCATGGGATGGAAAGGGAGATATTTATATACCATTCATCCCAGGAACTTGAGAGGGTAGTACAAATATCTTCACAGATGAGGCGTGAGGCAGACGAAGTTGATGGGATGCAACTATAACTCAGGATGTTTATCAAATGACAGACGGAGCCTAACCATTACATTGCTGTATAGTTGTAACATACATGCAGTAATTCAGCATTGTCTGAGATGGAACCATTGATAGAGGATGGCGCAGAGTATTCTCCTAACCAGGCCTCGCAGCTATATTGGGAATGGTTCCGCCGATGGTTTCCCTGTACAGAGAAAAGAGAAAGCAAGAAGATTTACCAACCGTTTTGGGTACCCATTCCCTTCCTGCTGCCAGCAGGCACTGCCAAGGCTGAATCTTAGACTGCCAAAACTTAAATGATTGACCACACTGGGTAGCAGATAGCGGGGTAGCTAATACACAGAACCTCAATATATTTTCTTTCTTCCTTTTGAAAACACTTGGCAAAGGGGGAAGTGGCCAAGTGGCACAAATGCTTGATTAACCAAACTGAGTTTGCTACTGTAATGGGCAGAAAGAATAACCTTGAGGAACAAGAGGGAGAGCCACAACCAAAACAAAAAACAAAAACCCCTAAGTGTGGGGCAGAAATGTAATCTGCAAATGTATCTCAGACAGATCCTTTCTAGTTCTACAAAACTAAAGGGGGAGGGAGAGAAAATATTCAGACTTGCAAGATTCTATTACGTTAATGTCATAATAAAAGAGTATCAGCATTCATAACTTTGGTTTTCTAATTTGATCTACCTGGAAGGGCTAATAGACCCTTCCTTCCTCCCCTCCCCTCCCCTCCCCTTTCTTTTCCTCCCTCTCCCACCAACTTTCAATACCTGTCTCCTTCTCTCTGTCTCTCTCTTCTGCAATGCACTATAAAAGCTATTTAAAGGACTATTAGCCCCAATGTTTAAAATTACACACCTACCTGCACTAGTGACTACTGTCCTGCCCTCTCCTTCAGATGCACCTCTCCTTTTACCCCAGAAGGATATAGATTAACCTTTCCATTCTGCAAACACTTTTGGCAAAGACATCTGTTTTGTCCTCCAAAACTTGCCATCCCAGTGGATCCCCTTAGGACCGGGGTCTTACCTTGGGAGGCCGCATCTCTGGCAACATCAAGGATTTGGTGTATCCTAGCTTTTTGTGGAGACCTTGAGCCCCAGGCTGCTCCCCACTCACTCTGTCTTCCATTTGGTCCAGGGTGGCTTCTGGCATAGGGTCTGCTGGAGCTGAGAGACCATTTCCCTCTATCTGCACCAAGCTCTGGCAAAACAACACAGAAAAGGGGAGGGGGGAAAAAGAGAGAAAGGACATGAGGCAGGCATGAGCCCAACTAATGCTACCCTTCCCTGTCGCCAATTTGATCCACAGCCACCTATTTCTTTCAAATTTGGGCCTCAGTTTCTTCAATGCTGACCCACAGGTGATGATATTGACAGAGCCTTCAGATGTGACAAGGGAATGGGAAGGGTTTACTATATAGACTAGCTGGCAACCACATGACCTGTTCTGACACAGCACACAATGATTTCTCATTACAGAAATTTCTCAGGCATCAGGCTAGTGACCCAAAATGTAATTCTGGATTAAAGCACCAGAGAGCAGTCAAACTCCAAAGGCAGCCTCTAGAAGGCACTAGCTATTTGATTGGAAGCATAGAGTACAGCAAATCCTTGATCTACGACTGCAGTTGAGCCCACAATTTTGGTCGTAAGTCATGACAGTTGTAAAGCAGGTCACCACATGTCTGTGCCTGATTTTATGGCCCTTCCTGTGGTTGTTGCTAAGTGAACACAGCAGTTGTTAAGCGAACCCATTATTTGCTATGCGGCTTTTTTTTTTGCTGAAAACCAAAAGTAAACACCAGTTTCTGGAAAACAATGTCAGAACTCACAGTCACATGATCACGGCATGCCACAAATGGCTGTAAGTGTGGGCTGCCAAGCAACCATAATGCAATCAAGAGACCACAGGGGATCCAAACATCGTAACTCTGAATCTGAATCATAAGTAGTTTTTTTCAATGTCTGTCAGGACTTTGAACAGTCACTAAGTGACCAATTGCAAGTGAAGGACTACTTGTATGTCAGCTCAGTATTTGCCAGCTAAATTCTTGCTGATTGCTGAAGCTAAGTAGCCTGGATGTCCCCCCACCCCCAACAACTCTAGCTTCTCACCATCTCTTGACTCCTCCTGGGTGGCTTCCATGACTTTTCACCTGTTGCAGGCTTATAGTAGTAACTACGCAGGGAGCTGGAATCTATGTGACGTTCCCAGGATTCCAGCATCTGTAGTGGTGGGCTGCGTGGGGAAGGAGGTGTTGTTGGTAATTGCTTCATCTCCTCCAGATTGTAATAAATTGGAGGCTTCTCCCCAAGGAGAGATGGAGGAGTATCATCCAACATCTGCCAGAAAGAAGCAGGAAATAAATCAGAGTTGGACTTACCATAACATACCATTCCATCACTGGAAGATGGACCTGGTAGGAAAGGGTTAACTCTACCACTTTTACTCAGAGAGTAACACTTCTTCCTGTCCCAGGGAAGAAACCTCATCCATTGAGTAACTACGTCTCAGGCCAATTTACTTCACAAAGTTGTTGTGAGGAAAAACGGGAAAAAGGATAACTGCGTATGCTGCCTTATGTTCCTGAACAAAAAGTGGGATTAGAAAAAAAAAATTCTAACAAATACAGTGAATCAGTAAATCCCACTGTGACAACAAGAACTTGCAATAGGTAGGGTATATGGGAAGAGAAGAACAATGTGTAACAATCAGTACAAGGCAGTAAAGTAACTGTCCCCTTGACCATTGGGCTGCTTAGGTACAGGTAGTCCTTGACTGTTCGAAGTTACAGTGGCACTGAAAAAAATTGACTTCTGACTGTTTTCACACTTACAACCCCTGCAGCATCCCCATGGCCATGTGATCAAAATTCAGAGGCTTGGCAGCTAACTCATATTTATAACGGTTGCAGTGTTCTCGGATCACGTGATCCCCTTTTGCAACCTTTCGTCAAGCAAAGTCGAAGGGAAAGCCAGATTCATTGCACAACCACGTTCTAACTTAACAACCGCAATGATTCATTTAACAGCTGCGGCAAGAAGAGTTGTAAAACGGGACAAAAACTCATACTTAGCAAGAGAAATTTTCGGCTCAGTTTTGGTCATACATCAAGGATTACCTGCGTTTTTAATCTTCTCTGCTTTCCTAAACAAGCAGAGACTGTAGCCTTCTCATTCCTCTCTCTCATGCCTGCAAATAGGCAAGTGATATGGATGAATAGGAGCCAGTAGATGGGCTTCTCTAAGCACCAGCAACTGGCTCCCTCTCCTCCCTCTAGTTGGAGCCATGTATAATTCTGCCCTGGAAAAAGCTTCATTTTCGGGGGTGGGGAAAAAGGGCAGCTGGGGGGCTCCTATACCTTTCTCTAGTGTCTGAGTTGCATAATGGACACACTAGGCAAGTCATGCCTCCCTTGTCCTTTTCTAGGGGTTGTCACCCAGTTCAGTATACCACCACATCCACCATCCTCCAGTTTTTCTATCACCCATCCTGCTGAGGGAATCTTGGGGGCTTGCTACCCTTGTGCTCTAGAGGATATGTCCTTCTGTGTTGCTTCTCAAGCTTCGAGGCCAGTTTATTTTTATTTAGCATATGGCAAAATATTAAAAACCACATCAAAATTACATTCTCAATGAGCAAATATGAACCTACAGTACTCTGTTTACAAATTCAAAGGTAGGCTATTTATATATGGACTATATATATATATGGTGTGTGTGTGTGTGTGGGTGGGTGTATACACATCATTTGTGTGCTAAATATTTTTGGATTGCTAAAAAAGAGTTAAAGGTGAACTGGGATAGCTATTTCAAGCTAATTAGCTCTCATCAGCCAGCCATACCCTTCTGAGATTCAAACCTGGGCTGCTTGCATGTCAACACAGCTGCCTAACGTGCAAGCAGCTCAGGTTCGAATCTCAGACGGGTATGGCTGGCTGATGAGAGCTAATTAGCTCAAAATAGCTATTCTGAAGTTTTCGCGGATGCTTGTATGTAGGTCTTTGGTTATTTGGGTTTTCTCATGCGTAAAATTGGAAGTGTCTTGACGACGTTTCGACGAAGTCCCATTTGTCATCTTCAGGCTGGTGTTTTCGGCTTCGTGCTTCTAGGAGCAATGTGTGATTGTAGCTGTTTCTTCCTTTTAACTGCCAGTGGGGGTATGAACTGATTGGGTAGGAGCTTGGCTGTGTTCTGATTGGGTGGAGATGTGTTCTGATTGGTTAGGGGCTTGGCTGTGCTCTGATTGGATGAGGGGTTGGCTGTGCTCTGATTGGATGGGGGAGTGTTCTGTTTGGGTGGGGGCTTTGTTGTGCTCGTGTTAGTCTGAGTTGCAGGGGGATTTGTCATGGTGAGCTGCGTTGCTGTTGTTTGGCTTCGCATCCATGGTCATGCCTCATCTTCATGGTGGGTGTCAATTTGCTTCATGTATGGATTGGAGGGGTTTAAAGTTGCTAATGATGCAGCTGTGGTCTGGCTTCTGGTTTGTGGTTGTGCTTATCATCGGTGTGGGTATGGGTTTGCTTTCTGCATGGATGTGTGGTGGTGACATCCTGTGTGGTTTTTGTGAGTGTGGGTCTGGTGTCATTCTTTGTGTTAGGGACTCGTTTGTCAATAAGGGCAGGTTTCCAAATGGCTGGTAGGTAGGAGGTATCATCTCGTTTATTCATGCTGTGTGGGCATTTTTCTATCTAGATGGCTTCTCTGATTAGTCTGTTATTAAAGTGTTCAGTTTTGGCAATAGTTCTGGTCTTTTTAAAGTCAATTTCATGTCCTGTGGCTTTAAGGTGTTGGACCAGGGAAGAAGTTGGTTCCTCTTTTTTGACTGAGATGATACCTCCCGCCTACCAGCCATTTGGGTTTTCTCAGTGGCCTTCACCCCTGAAGCACTGCAGGCAAAATTAAAGCCAATGCTACCACTTTCCCCCTCCATAGTCTGCAACCTTTGAAGACCTAATCAGTCTTTCTGTATTTCCTAGGCTATTTCCCTGGCCCAGCATCATAGCACTTTCAGGTGTGGCTTCTTGCCAGCATGCCTATCAGAAAGCACTTCATGCAGGATGGGGAAGAGCCCTGGTTTCGGTCTTCATCTTCATTATTTCCTTTTTTATCTCTCAAGATTGAGCCCTGGGTCCTCCAGAAAGCAGAACAGAAGGCTGAAGTGAGAGGCATTTCCTCTAGGGTCAAAGAAGATGATTGAAGATCCTTTTTTATCAAAACCAACTTCAGCTATGGAAAAGTGACTTTTACTTAATGAAGAGCCAGACTTCCCCTTGCTGCAGGATACAAGGAAGGATTAATGATATTTCAGGGATTTATGAAATTTTATACTGGATACCATAAAAACAGTGAGCCATCTAAGTGTCAGAATAAACTGGGTAGTGCTGATACTTTGGTCACCAAAACATTTGCTTATTTAAATGGGAGGAAAAAAAGGTCAAAACCATTAAGAGAAACATGTCATAATTCTATAATTCTGCTGCTCAATTCATCTAGGTCAATGGTTCTCAACCTGTGGGTCAGGACCCCATTTGGGGTCGAACTACCATTTCACAGGGGTCGCCAAACAATGCAGTCCACCATTTTTTTCCCGCTTTTCCTTAGCTGTGCTACTCCCTTTTATTCTATTGGCTTTTGAAAGCCAACAGAATAGACTCTCTTGAATAGAGTCTAATTCTATTGGCTTTCAAAAGCCAAGAGGAATTGTCCAGGCTGTCTCTGCCCTGCTGAGCCCACCAAAAGTCCCATTCTGCAAACGGTGCTGCACCAGTTGAGTAGTCCTTGACTTACGACCGGTTGAGTAGTCCTCGACTTACAACCGGTTGGGGGTCGCGGCATTAAAAAGGTTGAGAACCACTGATCTAGGTTCTAGCCTATCCTATTTAGCATTGTTTTGGGGTTTTTTTAAGCAGCCATGGTCATTGTTTCAGTTGTTTCTGTGGTTTAGTTGAGAACAGAGCAGAATGTTTAAATAAATAAATATGTGGTCCTCTATTACAGGTTGATTCCGCATTTTAGAGTTTCGACAACTTGAAACATGTAATAAAAGACCTAAGAGAAAGAGCAAGAATGGAATGTTTACTCCAATTCCCACAAAATGTTAGTTCCCCCTAATTTAACTTGTGCCTTGAAGATTATCGGAGATAGGGTCTATAAAGTTTTAGTGTTTGTAAATTATCAGAATAACAGAGTTGGAAGGGACCTTGGAGGTCTTCTAGTCCAACCTCCTGCTCAGGCAGGAAACCTTATAGCACTTCAGACAAATGGCTATCCAATCTCTTCTTAAAAACTTCCAGTGTTGGAATACACCCAGAACTTCTGGAGGGAAGTTGTTCTACTGATTAATTGTTCTATCAGGAAATTTCTCCTTAGTTCTAGATTGCTTCACTCCTTGATTAGTTTCATGCCTTAGCTTAGAACAGGGGCTATTTCTATCTCTTAACCACTGCCAAGCTTTCTGTCTCAAATCCTTGTGGGACCATATCTTCAGAACTTTAGAAGTGGATTGAAATGAAGAACGGAATTAAATATTTTATTTGTGTGTGATTAAATACCCAAGGAATTTGTCTCTGATACAGATGCACTCAATGTACTTGCAAAGCAACAGAAATAATAATAACAACAACAACAACAACAATAATAATAAAACAGTAAAAATAACAACAATAATAATAGTAGTAGTAATAATTTACAGTAATATTAATACAGTACTAATACTACTTTATAGCAAATTGCTGTAAATCTGTTGGAATCAGGAATCTATAAATGCAAGAAATGAATAATACTTAAAAATGCCCAGAATTCAAGGGAATTCTAATGCACAGCGAATGATTAACTGCAGAGAACAGCTTGCTTTATGCCATTATAGTCAATTATGCTTTTATGTGATAATAATCAGCATGTTTATGTTTTGCCCAAAGAAGATAGCAATAGCACTTAAGATTTATATAGTGCTTCATAGTGTTTTACAGACTTCTCGAAGCAATTTACAGAGTCACCGCCCCACAACAGTCTGGCTCCTCATTTTACCAATCTCGGAAGGACAGAAGGCTGAGTTAACCTTGAGCAGCTGAGAATCAAAGTCCTGGAGTAAGCAGTAAGTTAGCCTACAATACTGCATTCTAATCATTGTGCCACGATGGCTCTTAGATGAAGGCACTACTGATACTAAAAGCCTTAAACATTCCCATTAGGAAGTAAAAAAAAAAAAAAAAGCAAAATAAGTGTCATAGATATGCTAGGAAGAGATCAATATAGTTGGTTTGAGCCCTTCTCCAAAATACTGTAGTCACTGGAGCAACCAGAGGGAGGATCAACAATTCACACACAGACAAAAGGAGGCAGGGCCTCAATCATTGTGGTCATGCTAGACTTCTAAACATGAAAAGGGCAAGAAGCTACTCCTGTTTAGAGAATGTAAGGATATAAAAATATAAGAAAAGACCTGCTCTTAACTATTGCTTTTTAAGTTCTGAATCCTCAAATAGCTTTACTGGGAATTATGGGAACTGAACTGGAAGGTACAACCTAAGAGCTGGTTGGGGTACAGTGTTGGATTTTGCTCAGAAAGACCTAGATTTGTATCCCCCTACAAAATGAGGTCCACCATTTTCCCATGTTCTTTGCAGTCTATGAACAATGTTATTTTGAGGATAGAATCAAATCAAGTTTCAATTATAGAACAGGAACAGGTTATTTCAAATAACTATGTAAGAATTAATAAACACCATCCAGAGTCCAACCAGAATGGAGCAGTTTAAATATTTCATGGATGGTTGGATGGATAGATGGATGGATGACAGTTAGATAAACAAAGATACATAATGATCAAGTTTCCTTCTAGCTACTCCTATCTGAATAGGAACAACACAAGTAGCTGTGAGTCTTTCTTATGCTGAACCACAGCTGTGCCCAAGTAAACATTTTCCATAAGATCCCATTGACAGATCCATATACTCCACCCAATTCTTCCCAGCTCCACCCAGCTCCATATAGATTCTCTGCTAATGCCTAACTACATAGTGCCTCTCCAGTTAAGTCACAGCTGTGGCTCCTTCTGCCTTCTTGTCTAAGTTCATTGCCCAAGAGGAAGTTGAAAATTGGTTGCTTCATGGCAGAAGACTGGAAGAATATTGCTAGTGGTCAGAGAGTTTCTTCCTCTTCCTCACTTTGTCTCGGTTCTAATTATGTCTTCTTCTAAAATCCCCCTCTCAGAGATGACCCCCTTTATCCTACCTCAATTCTTGAGGCCTTCAGAAGTTTTCTAGGAAGCACCGATACCCCCACGGTCTGGTACTTACAGCCAGTACCAGCTGTGTGGTTCAGGGGCGTGTGCAGAGGAGCTGGCCCTCCCACTAGCTTCCCCCACATCCTGTGTGGGTGGCAGATGCTACCACTCCTTCCAATCAGGGAAAGACAAAGAGGAAATTATGCAAGGTAGCGGGGCAGATGTTCAGATAAGCAGCTCTCACCCAAGCATCTAATGGAATCTTGACAGAAGAAAAAATATGCATGCAGCAGCCCACAGCAGTCAGAGACCATGAAGAACATATGTCAGAATAACTGGAACTTAATGCAGTGAAAGCTTACAGCTTTAAAGGGGACATGAGTCAACTTTTCTGAGAAATTTGTCATTCTGGAGGTGTGTCATAAGGTTGTATGAAGGCCTTGACTGAGAGTGATTTTGAAGATTTTTTTAAATTTCACTTAATGTCTACCTTTCTGCTTTCTTCCTAATCTGGGTTGTATTATGGACGATCCAGATGATTCTGTTCAAACACACACAAAAATACAGTGAGACTTCTAAATCCTCACCTTGTGCTTTTCAACTATTTCTAGAGGAGCATCTATCTTAATCTATGCTGCCAAAATGACTGGATCTTGTAATACATTCAAGACTAACAGACCTTATGATAGCTTATATTCCTATGGACCACATCAGGAATTTCCAAACTGTGGCTTGGGAAATGAGCACCTGGGGCAGGAAGTGATCACAGATTTGCACAAACAAAGTAGAAGCACTGTCAAAACTCATTCTCAGCTTTGCTCCTTATTTTGCTTGTGTATATCTGCGCACTTTTGTAATGCAGAATCCCTTTCCTCATCCTAATTCCACAGAAAAGCCTTGAATGTTTAATATATCATTTTTTCCTATGTTTTTATTCTTTAGTCCATCCTATTTAGTTTATTTATTTATTATTTATTAAATTAATCTGCTGCCCATCTTGACTAAAGGTAATCCTAGGCAGCTTATAATCAACAATTTTATTGTTCTGGAGATGGTCTTTCTGCTCATTCAAGAACTGAAGCATGATATTAGGGGGAGACCTTTTTTTTTAGAGGAGGAGGAGGAGGAGGAGGAGGAGGATGCATATCACTTGCAGCCAGTCTGAATTCTTACAGCATAGAGACCCTTAGCCCAAGGATAAGAATATAAGACTAGCCCTGCTGGACCAGGCCAAGATCCATCTTAATCCAGGATTTTTGTTCCTTAGAGTAACCACCAGATGCCACTCAGTAACATATCCATCTCTCGCCATTGCTCCTCTGCAACTGCTGGATTGATGACAGACTCCACCTCCCTCCCCACTTGCTCTCTGTTCTCCATCCATTTGTTTTTTGTTATCATCATATTGATGTATTTTTGTTGAGTTCTTTCTCATTGTTTATTTGATTGTTCTATTATTTTACTTCTGTTCTGTTTACACTCTTTTCGTCTCTTCCGTTTATTGTTGTAAGTCACCTAGAATAGCCCCAAGGCAAGATAGATGGCAAATAAATTTAATAAATAAAGTAAATAAATAAACTGATACTTGGACACATGCTGGAAATAAGAATTTTAGGAAGAAGCCAAGGGAAGTCAGTCAAACAATTTCACAGCTCTGATGGTAAAGCCAGTTTTTATTTCTGCTCACTTACAGCACGTTTACCTAGGATAACTGGGGAACATCATTGTTGGCCATGGCCTACAACGGTCATTTAGTCTGAATAAGTGACACAAAAGATTAAACAAACAATAGTTAAATTAATCTTGCTTATAATGGCCCTAAGAAAGAGGACTTACTCAGATTAATTGCAGGAGATTCAGCATACTTAAGCCAGCCTTATGCTTTTTCACATTATAGACAGTAGAATTCATTAGTAAAGATGTAGGGTTGGCAGGCAATTCATTAGATAAATTTTAAAAAGGTTTATGGAAAAATGACTTCTTAACAGAAAGTCCACATTCAGAGAGATTGCAGATGCCTACTTATTAGACCCCATCCAGAGAAAGATTTAGTGCTCACTCTCTGCTGGCAAGCCCCCCAAAATAGTAGGCTGTAGAATGTGCAAACAGAAATATAAAGGCATGAAATTGCTCGTACTGTGTCAGGTGTGAGTAGGGGGTAGATTGAAATCTAACAGAAGTGTTCAGGATGCTCTACTGTAGATCAGCAAGATTGTGTGATTTTCAGCCTGAAAGCAATAACAGGAAGAGTTTTCTTTCTAAACTAGATGAATGACTAAAAACCAGAAATGAGTTGGTTACAAAAAGCTAGAATTCAAGCCCTGCAAATGTAGGCTTATGTTCAAGGGCATTCTGATGGTAGCCTTGTGTCTGTAGCTACTAATGGACCTCAAACAATTCCCCTGAGGCTGTCTAGGTTCTTTGAGTCATTCTGATTCTTGTTTTTATAAAGCATTGATTATTTAATGGGAAGGTAGCGTGGCATATGGCAAAGTGCTGGATCCAAGATAACTGTTTTATACAAAAATGCTCAGTGGTGCACATAAACCTTTAGGTACTCTTAGGAGTTTAAAATGGTGGCTGGCTGTGGCCCAATGCTTTGTTTAGGACTGCATTCAGCTGCCAAGAGAAATAAGATGGATAATAATAATAATAATAATAATAATAATAATAATAATAATAATAATAGTAAGGTTGGAAGGGATCTTGGAGGTCATCTAATCCAACCCCCTGCTCAGGCAGGAAACTCTATACCATTTTGGACAAATGGCTGTCCAGTCTCTTCTTAAAAACCTCCAGTGTTGGAGCATTCACCGCATCTGGAGGCAGGTTGTTCCACTGGATGAATGAAACATCTGGAGCAACGTTCCCCAGCCTTTCCCACTTTGTGGATTGGTGGGGGGAAGGGGGTGGTTCTGTGTGAGTGGAGGGTGAGCAAGCATGCATACATGCACTCGCCCGCGACTTCTGCGGCCCGGTTCCAAATAGATCATGGCCCAGTACGGGGCAGTTGGAGATCTCTAATCTGGAGGAGTCAGAAAGTGCTTTCTTGTTGCCGATATCCACTAGGACAGTTCTTTTGTGACTGTGCAAACCCAACATCACAAACAGACTGTGACCACAAGCCATAAAACACTCTCTAAATTCTAGATTTGATTCCACGGATGGATTAAATGGACTCCAGAAGATGGTAGAGGAGAGGAAGACCGGGGGAACATTGTCCATGGGGTCATGATGGGTCAGACACGACTTCGCAACTAACAACAAATGGATTAAAACCTCTCTTGACAATATTTTTTTTGCAATTAAAAAAAAAAAGAAAAATCTTTGATGAGCAAGCAGGGTTTAACTGCCAGTTGGAGTAGTTGCTGGATGTTTTTGTTGTTCTTACGCGTTTTAGTTGCACCTGAATACTTTTTTTAAAAAAAAAAGTTACATTACGATATAATAACATTATAATAATTAATATATTTGTATTGTTGCTCGTCTCTTGGGCACTCTGTATTGATACTGTATACTGTATGTGTCTAAATACCACCTGTGTCATGATGACATTGAAAGTGCTGTTTGGTTTTATCTCAGCTGCTATAATATTGTCTTGTTGTGATGTTTTTATTTTATTTTTATGCCATGTTAGCTGCCCAGAGATATGTTTGTGATGGGTAGCCGTAAATCAAATACATAAACAAACAAATGAAGTCTGAGAAAAGGAAAAGGCTGAACTCACCCCATAATATCTCTCACTTCTTGCTAGCTCTTCCTCTGAACTTTGCCAGTGTGTTGGGCCTTTGCATTTTATCTGAGATAGGCCACTCAGGCTGTGACGCCTACCAAGCAACAGCTGATGGATTCTCATCTTGGCAGAAAAGTGGTTGCAGCTGGACAATAGATCTGTGTGGGAAGATGATGGGGGTGGCTGCACCCAAAGATCCTCCAGAGAATGAGACATTTCGAAGCATGCTGAAAGGAAGAAAAGTAGAACCAGCAAGGACAATTCTTGCCTTTCCGCACACATTCTACGTTCAGTGAAGCTTTTCATTCAACAAGGATTGATCCAAATTAAGGAGAAATTTCATGACAGTAAAAAAAAAAAAAAACTAAATTGAGACTCTGGAATAATTTCTGACTGTTGGGGACTACATCCAAGTTTTTTTCTTGGCAGTGTTGCAAATATAGTTTGCCATAGCCTTTTCCTATAACACGTAGGTCTTTTACATTCCAGCCCATCTGATAGTCTGGTGAAAAGCAAAGTGTGAACTACCAGACTTAGCTTTCAAGTCCAGAAAAGGCTGGCCAAGTGCTGCCACCTTTTGAGACTTCCAGCAGAAACAGAACATGAAATCTAACCTGAAAGTCTTCTCTGCTTCTAGATTTGAAGCCATCCCTTTCTGTTTCTAAGCTCCTGAATCCAGCCCATGGACATAGGTTTGCTGCTTCTGATTTTTCAGCCTCCATATCAGAGGGAATCTTTGGGAATCAGTGGCACTATGAATTTTTAAAGATTGTTGGTCCTTTTCTTCTAACTCCCCCTCTCATTTGTCAGGGTTTTTTTTAGCCAACAATCTTTCTATTTATTGTCCAGGAATTCTCTTTGTCACTGTCACTACCGATTAAGTGCCACCACCTTTATTGGTCTACTTTCCCACCAAACAGTGTCCTGGACCAGTCACACAGCACTACTGTCAGGGGTATAATGACACTGTATTCAGATTCATAAATATTCATATGAGGGATGGGCATTCTTTTAGAACTGGGGACAACACTTCTCTCTTGAGAGGGATGCATACTCAGTGCCTTGGGAAAATAGACGGGCAACACTATAATTTTCTGTTTTCCTAAGTTTGGGAATAGGGATGTGACTTTTTTCCCCTTTGCTTATAATTAACTAGGTGTAACCACATTTCCAAAAGGAGGAAAAAATCTACACACTACCAGATTTTGGCTTCAAAAATCTATACAACCACTAGATGGCAACAGACCTGCCCACAAAATTATAACTCTTTGCTGCCATCTGGTGCTGTTTTGGTTTCTTGCAGTTCATGTATGGTTGTTCACTTGGGGGTATTTGAGTTGCAATGAGTGACAAAGTCATTTTCTATGCTGTACCTAACTGATTTGGAGTGGTATGGCACTTTTGTCTGAAACCAGGATATCTGATCCCCTAAATACATTGCATTTTTGGAGGTAATGTTTCTACTCCCAAATTATGGGAATGTGTATCCAATGTTCAGCTATGGTGATGGTGGGGACTCCAGAGATAGAATAAATTTATTGGAGTTCCCACTCCTGGAGTTCAAGTTGCCCAACCCTGGTTTAGTCCCTTGAACTTCAAAAACAACTCACCGGGACCTCCATCCTTTTCTGAATGGTAGCTAGGGTGCAAGAAGACATTTTGCTGTAGGTTTGCCCTTTCATCACAGGTCACTTCAGCCACATAGGATGCTGGGACAAAGATGGGCCTCTTCTGCTTGGTCTGGCCAAACCTCTTCACCTGCCACCAATCCTCATTGGCCTTGTGCACAAGGTGGAAGATCTCCCCTTCCTCAATGATCACCTGCCTTCCATCTTCAGATTTGTACTTATAGTCATAGAGAGCCTGCAACACCACACTGCCTGCAGAATCCAGAGAAGATTCGCTCTGGGGGCGATTGAATTCTTCCAAGAACCGCCTCCGACTTGAAAACATCTTGCCAAGTCAGGTTGACCCGAAAGAGCTGGGAACTCTGGGCCTCAGCATGCTAACTTTTCACCTATGATGAAAACAATTGCAGCACTAAATTTAGATGTGGTGAAAATGTAACTGAAGTGCAGTGCCAGTAAACGTAAATGCCTTAGACATTGTAACTTGTTAGGTCTGAGGATATTATTCAAAATTTGGTAAATTGTGGATTATTTAGTAGGTAAAATACTAGACAATACTGATTTATGTAAGCTTGGACTACTAAAAATAAGAAGCATATTGACAGAGTAAAATTTTCCTCTATGCTCCAATGTAATATCTTGTGATGGTAACTCAAAAAATAGCTGAGGGTGAATCTCATTTTCCCAGGAAGAAAAAGGATAGAAAATCTTAGTTAAGTATTGGTTAAAAGCAGACTGGCTTTCTTGATTTATTACTGTGGTAGAATCAATCTGAGTTAGTGATTAAGGTTCCAGCCTGGAAACCAGGACACTGGGAGTTTCTAGGCCTCTAAAGCATGAAAACTAGCTAAGTGATTTGGGGTCTCAGCTCAACTCATCTTACAGAGTTAGGTTTAGGGTGAAGTTTTATGAGTGTGAAGAACAAACTGTCAGGCATGTGGCATCTTTTTAATGAAAAAAATTAATGGTGCAGAAAATGCTAGACTATGAAAGGAAAATAATACTCTGAGGAAAGTAGAGCCAGAAAGAGGTAGTAGTTCTGTAAACAACCAAGAAGGGAGTATCTACATCTATCTTCAGCCCCAAAAGTGCTTCCAGCTATTGGACTCTTTTCTCAGACACTGCATGTCAATAGATCTGTATACATGGATCAAGTCAAGTCACAAATGACTTTTCAGGAGTTATCAGATTAGGAAAATAATCAGTTTATTTTTTTTCTTATGTATGGGTTAATTCTTCCCTCTCCCATGTCTGAAGAATCTAAGTCACCAAAAGCACCCAAGTAGCTGTTGCAACAGGAAGCAACCATGCGCTTGCGGCTTCTTGCAGAGAATGAACACAGAGCCATATTAAGCAGAAATTGTACCCAGTGGAATTTGTTTGCCAAACAGAATCAGCTGGGAGGGAAAGCAAAGCTGTCTTCACCCAGCCTCCTGGGACTCCCTATTCTTGTTCTTGAAAGCGTCTCCCAGAGCGTTTTTTGCCCTCCAAGGCAAAGCTTGTACTGTCCCAGAAATTACCTTCAATGCAGCAGATCATCTTCAGAACCAGAAATAAATAGCTCTATAAAGATCACTCTATCCTCTGTATCGGGGCCATTCCATGTAGGAATGGTCAACTTTTGTGGTCAAGAACTGGTAGGGATTTTCACATTTACAGATACAAGAACTCATATGATATATGGGGACTCCACATTTAAAAGAGTTTATGTAACTATCAGGAACAAGACTACTGTAGAAATGAAATGAAAAACAAATATTTAAAGTAAAAATATCAAAAACAAAACAAAACAAAACTCATTCTGTAAAATGAGAAGAAATAAAGGCTGGTGTGGTGAGCCGGTCAAGCTGAATTTTAATCTCTTTGCTGTCCTTCTTTCTGGGCCTTTAGATTATTGTCCCAAAGTTCTAGCTCAGTGTTTCTCAACCTTGACCATTTTAAGGCATGTGGACTTCAACTCCCAGAATTCCACAGCCAGCATTGCTGGCTGTGGAATTCTGGGAGTTGAAGTCCACATGCCTTAAAATGGTCAAGGTTGAGAAACACTGTGACTAGCTATACCATTAGAGAGAGAGGTTGAAAAAGCCAGGGAGCTTCAAAACATTGTCTACTGTGGTGGCATTGGCTTTGTTTTCAGGACTTGATAACTTTGGCCAGCTACAGAAAGCGGATGTAAGACAGAATTCAGAGATGATAATGTGGTTAGTTACCCTTATGCAGTGCTTTTTTTTTTTGTAAAAACAAACAAACAAAAAAGTGCCGGAACTCACACACATTTCCGGTTCCAGTCGAATGCCCTTTACAGAGGGGGGGGGAGAAGAAGCCACTTTAGGGAGCGATTTTGCGGCTCCCCAGTGGCCCGATCCGGGCTCCGGAGGCCTTTTCCAAGCCTCCGGAGCCTGAATCCATGGCCATGGAGCGATTTTGCAGCACCCCAGCTCCAGAGCCCGAATCGGGCCACTGGGGAGCCACAAAATCGCTCCAGGGCCATGCATCTGGGCTCCAGAGGCTTGGAAAGGGCCTCGGGAGCCCGGATCGGGCTGCTGGGAGTCCGCAAAATCATTTTGCAGGCATACCTGGACTTGTGCTGGCAGCTTAGAAGGAACCAGTTCTTCGGTTCAAAAAAAGGTGCCGGAACACCGTTCCGTGCGTTCTATGACAAAAAAAGCCCTGCCCTTATGTCATCAAAAGACAGCAGAAGAAACTGGTGTCTTCCTTGTTGCATTAAAAGTGCAGGAGAAAGAAACCCAGTATCTAACAAATTACATATATATGGATTCCATGTTTGAAAGCAAAGGTACTGGTCCAGGGGTTGGCAACCTTAAACACTCAACACTTGGACCCGTTTCCCAGAGAAAAGATGGGAGCTGCAAAACTTGAGCGCATGTGCACACACAGGGGGGGAGCTTGATTGAAGAGTTTAATTAAAAAGAAATAGTGGCTGCTGTGCATGAGTTCTTTCTCTCTCCCTCCCTCTATCTCTCTCTCTCTCTCCGTCTCTTTGTCTCCCTCCCTCTCTCTCTTCCCCCTCCCCCCCGATCTTCTGCTCATCTGGCAAGCCGGCTTCACGCTGTTCTCTGACAAGCTGACACACATTCTTATTGGGCTGGCTCTCTCCTGCCCTTTGTCTGCCAGTCCTCTTCCCCCACTCAGTGTGTGTGTGTGTGTGTGTGTGTGTGTGTGTGAGAGAGAGAGAGAGAGAGAGAGAGAGAGAGAGAGAGAGAGAGAGTGCGTGAGAGAGAGCTGCTTCCTGCTTTCTGCTGCTTCCTGCTGAGACGCAGCAAAGGTAGGAGTCCCGCCCAATAAGGTTGTCAGCTTGTCCAAGAACAGCGTGATGCCACTCTCTTTTTTACACACAAACACAGAGACAGAGACAGACAGACAGAGAGAGAGAGACAGAGAGAGAAGGGAAGCGCAAGTGCCTCTCTCTGTCTCTGTCTCTCTGTCTCTGCAAATGGCAGAGGAGGCTGGGAGCTGCAGGAGAAGGCTCAAACAGCTACATGCGGCTCCGTAGCAGCGGGTTGCCGACCCGTGTACTAGTCAGAACTCTTGTGCTTTCACATCAACATTTTTCCTACATAACTTTTTCAATCAGTGCACAGCATTGTCTCTACACTGTTCTTCTCCAGTCTTGATTTTCATTAGCGAGATGCAACATAACATCATGCTGGCAGATGTCAGGTCTGACAACTGTTTGAAATGCCCTTTGATTTCTCACTAGGCCCCCAAAGTTGCCCTGAGAGATGTTGGGAACTTCAAATGATGATTCCACTTTTTCCAATTCTTCTCCCTGCAATAAACAATACTTAATCACCTGGATTGAGAAGCTCGGGAGACAGTAACTCCCACTCCAACAATGGAAGTTTTTAAGAAGAGATTGGACAACCATTTATCTGAAATAGTATAGGATTTCCTGCCTGAGCAGGGGGTTGGACTAGAAGACCTCCAAGGTCCCTTCTAACTCTGTTATTCTATTCTATTCTATTCTATTCTATTCTATTCTATTCTATTCTATTCTATTCTATTCTATTCTATTCTATCCTATCCCATTCCATTCTTAGGTACAAAAGCCAGTTAGGTGACCTTTGACCAGTTGCTCTCTCTCTCAGCTCAACCCACCTGAAGGTTGTTGTTGGGGAAATAGGAGGAGGAAGGAATATAATGTATGTTTGCTGCCTTGAGTTACTTATAATGTAATAGAGATGGTATAAAGATTAATATATGTGAATATATAGTTGTAGGTCTTTGGTTGTTGCTGCTCAAAGCACGAAGCTGAAAACACCAGCCTGAAGATGACGAATGGGACTTCGTCGAAACGTCGCCAAGACACTTCCAATTTTACGCGGGAGAAAACCCGAACAACCAAAGACCTACATACAAATACCCGCGAAAACCTCAGAAAATGAATATATAGTTATATATACACACACATGCACAACACATACACACACATACATATATATGGGTATACACATACACACATACACACACATACACACACACACACACACACCATATACTGCATAGATAGTTATCACTGTATAAAATAATACTTGGGGATATTCTGGAATACATTAATATCTTGGTGAAGGGACTAAAGTTGCTGTAAAGCAAAATTTGGAATCTATGGAACTCCCTCCCAGCATTGTTTTTTTGCCAGCTAAGGTTGCTAGGAGAAGTTATTCAACTGCATTTCAAGATTCCTATTCCTTGATTTGAAGACTAGTTTTATCCGTCCAACTACTTGACAGTTCTTATCTTTATCATCTATTTGCGTACACACCTCAGAAATAGTGCATTCACACATCACACAAAAAGGAAACCAGATATGCTATGTTATGATTCCCTTTATTGGGTCAATTTTGTACACTTGTTAATCACCCTTATGTCTGTAGGTATATATATGGGTTCAACTCCTTGATAAACTATGCATAAGCCACAATGGAAAGCTTTTTTTTTTTACAGAAAAGTAATTGCTTTTAATAGCTGTGATTTGAGCATTATATACTTTTTTAAACTACTGCGCACCACAGTTGTTTTTAATTGGATATCAAACACCATACTTCATTTACTGTTACATTTTTGTCTCCATCAACTATGTTTGCTAAGATTAGAATTTCAGAAATATAGACAGCTGCAGAAACCGTAAGAAGGGTTTGGCCCATTTCTGTTTACAGGGGTTATGTGACAAACAGAAGGTCTGCTTGAAAAAATGTATGTGAAAGAAGAATCAGAGCTGCAGTCCTAGCCAATCCTGAACCTTTCAAGATGGAGTCCAGTTTTCAAAATGGAAACTAAGCCACTGACAGTTAAGGTGGCCTTAAATCTGAGGAAGACTCTTCTACATCAATGAGTCTACAAGAGATAACTCTTCTTCTAAAGCACTTTGAGAATGTAAGCTGACCCCACTACAACCCTTCCCTGTTTTTTGCCAACCAGTCCTCATGAGAAAATATGCCTTAGAAAATACTAATCATAAAATGTTCTCCTGTTGGGGAGAACATAAAAGAAACTTCAGCTGGAAACAAGAAAGAATGCAAACTCCCACTTCCTTATTTATTTCTTCTGCATTTCCTCCCATATCACAGGACTGCATTCATTTTGTCTTGTTCACAAGCCCCATTTTCCCCGCCACTGCTTGCCAACTAAAATGGGAAACCCCACTCCCTAGCCAGTATGACTGAAGGAATGGAGTAAAATTTCAATTAACAATCCACAGAAGAGAAAATAAGATTGCAGCCCTACTACAGTAAACTTCCCATTATCTCAGAACAGTTATGTTTACCTGAGCCCATCACACAATGAGAGAAATGATAATCCTGGAATAACAGCTTTTTCTTTCAGTCTTGGACCCATTCTGTAGCCATTCTTTTCATCTTTCACAGAAACGGAGAGAGAAGAATGCGGTATTTCCCTTCCTTAAAAGCATTTAATGTATGAGGTACAAAGCATAGGTACCACACACATCCGCCTTCAGAGAGGTAAATAGTTTCCTGTGGGCTGCTACTTTGCTTATGTGCACCATAAAGCAGGAAGGAGACTCCATTTCTGAGTCGCAATACTCTTTTGCAGACAGAGAAACTGTCTTTATTGTAACATTTGTGTATATAAAAGAAATAGCCTTGCAGCAAGTGTGATCTTATTTAGATCAAGAAGATAGCAATTTCAGTCCTAGGCACAGCAGTAAAGTTTACCATAATCAAAGGTTATGTCTAAGAAAACCCAAGGTTGCATGACATGGATGCAAATTTATGCATATCACCTTGGGTGTTCTGCTTCAAACTTATTTTTAACTGAATATGCTTCTAATCAGATGGATCACAAAACATAAATCTTAGCTTGCTTGTTAGTCATTATCACTTCTTGGTGATTACCGAATATTTAGCTCCTTAAAAAAGCTATACTTTTTATTCATTTTTTCTCCCCACTGCTAAAATTTCCCCTCTTCAGGCACTAGAATAGAATAGAATAATAACTTTATTGTCACTTTGAATGTACACTAATTGGCATACATTAAAATGAAATTTCATTGCATACAGCTCTCAAAGGGTCACCACCTCCAATATACACTACATCAGTGTTTCTCAACCTTGACAATTTTAAGGCATGTGAACTTCAATTCCCAGAATTCCACAGCCAGCAATGCTGGCTGTGGAATTCTGGGAGTTGAAGTTCACATGCCTTAAAATTGTCAAGGTTGAGAAACACTGCACTACATAAATATGACAAAAATAAATACAGAATTATGCATATAGCCAATATATGAGAGACAGAAACAATACAGTCTAGTTTGAATTATTTATACATATGCATGGCAAGAAAAACAAAACTTGTATGATTCTTGAGTTTCCATAAGGTAGTTTAAAGATAAAAAAACCTGACCATATTATCTTTTAAAAAGAGGAACCATAGTCCTCATATAAAAGTACTAAAAAATACTGCCAGGTATTTGTTTTATTTTAAAAATCTTTAGGCTGCCTTTAATACAAAAGCTCTTTCAACATACATTAAATCTGTTATCTATTTATTTATAAATAGATGTAAGTCCACAATAGACATAAGATTGTAGATTTAAGCTTGAATTTCTGTTAATTTCTGTATTTAATTTACAGTAATTTCTTTTTGATATTACTGTGTGCATTGGGTTTATTATAGTCACATACACACTGGCCTACTGATGGAATATACATCCATGTACAAACTTACACCATCATTACTATGGCTATATTTATTTCTCTAACAAATGATGATTAAGGTGTTCTATCACTAGGGTCAAATACATCCTCCGCCATTCAAGTTTATTGATAACTTTGAACCAATTCCTCTGGAACTCAGATTTGTTGTTGTATGGGAGGGGAACTGAAGAAGTGTATGCAACCTTGAGTTCCTAAATGCAAAGAGGGACAAAAATCTAATCAATAAACTTGCAGTCCAATAATGCCCGTGTGGCCTCTTTAGATATTAAGAAGCAATTGCTATACAGATATTACAAGTCAGATATCCAGGTCTTAAATTTACCAGAAATTTGCTTCCACCAACTTGGGTTTGTCAGGCTGAAATTAACCTACTTTGGACACACTATGCTAAGAATAGCTCTCAAGAAGACTATAATATTGGGAAAGGTAGAAAGAAAATGATCACAAGTAAAGTGGAAAGACTGTTAAGAGTGGCAACAGGTGCACCACTGGAGAACCAGGTTAGGGGTAGATCTATATGGTCACGGAGTTGACATCTCATACATAACTAGTCAAACTGGTTACTAGTGTTTTTACAAATTATTAATTCTTATTAATTCCTATTAGGGTATTAACTTTATTAATCCAACTCCAATAAGAAGTGTGTGCAAGCTTTCAGACGCTGCTTTTGGTTTTATACTTGATTACTGCTGAGAAGACTTCTATTGATAATAGCTTTGCTGTTTAATTTCTTAAATATTAAAAATCTGGTCCAGATGTAGACTTAACCTATACTAGAACTATGGATTTCACATTAACCGCATTTTCAACATTGGGCTTTATTATTATCCACAGGAGATAACAAGAGCGAATGCGACACAACTAGAGAGAGAGAGACAACACACCGTTCCGCTTTACACTCCAGCGAACAATCCGAGTGTAGTATTATTACGCAACGTCCGCTTTTCCCTTGGCCTCGGGCCTCCTCCTTTAAAACTTCCGGTTGGGTGGACAATGCATGTCGGGATTGGTAGTCCCAAAGTTTGGCCTGTGTGCGACGGAGGGAGGATGTGCTCGAACGCGCAGGCCCAAAAGTGGGCGTGAGGCGGGGGTGGGAAAGAGTGACCCGTTTCCAACGCGACGTAGGCCGGGAGAGGGCGTGGACGGGGAGTCGGCGTTCATGTCAGGACCGGCTTCGTTGCATCAGCTGGGGACGAAGCGTGGCTGGGAGGCAGAGGGAGGACGGAACATGAAGCTGTGCCTGAGTGAAGGCAGCCTTGGTGGGCTGAAGGTCTTGGCGGCTGCCAAAGCCACTGGCGCGCCGGTGGAGTTGCGGTGGCTTCCGCAAGAGGGTGAGTGCCAGGTGGACGGTAGCTCCCCCCTCCCCCCCCCGAAACAGGGCGGCTGAAAAATCTAGTTTTATTTAATTGAAAGATTTCCAGTCCTGGAGACTGGGCTATTTATTGACATAAAAATTCGAGTCAGTGAATAACATAATTGTTTTTCCCCCCTCTTTAGGATTTTTCTTTAGTCTGTTCTCTCCGCGCTATGTCCTTTTAATTTCCTGCTCCCCTATTACTTCCCGTGGTTTTGTGATGGACTCTGTTCACTTTTGGGTTTCTGAATACATGGATGAGAGGGGAGAATCCGCACCTGCATTCATGAGAATACTTTCAGAAAATTAGCAAGTGATGGATTGACTGGACTAAATATAGCTGGACTTAGCAAGTGTATTCCAATACTAGTACATAAACTTATTCAGAATAACAGAATTGGAAGGGACCTTGGAGCATTCAACACTGGAGGTTTTTAAGAAGAGACTGGACAGCCATTTGTCTGAAATGGTATAGGGTTTCCTTCCTGAGCAGGGGGTTGGACTAGATGACCACCAAGATCCCTTCTAATTTTATTATTATTATTATTATTAATAATAATAATAATAATAATAATAATAATAATAATAATAATAATAATACTTCTAGTCCAACTCCCTGCTTAAGCATGAGATCCCATGCCATTCCTGACAAATGGCTGTTCAATTTCTTTTTATTCATCAAATATCTTTGGGGGAGGGCAAGACTTTTCTTTCTATTTTTCTTCCCTGTCATCTCTTTTTGGTAAGTCCTCCATATTTAAAAAGTTGCATCATAAGCAGAAATTTGATAGAGAAAGCCTTCCTTATTAAAGCTAGTAATTTTGACTTAGAAAACAACTTTGCCAAATTTTGGGGGTAGCATTTTCAATCTTCAAGAAGAAGGAAAAATTGTCTTTTCAAGTAAAAGTAATCATGTTCTGTCAACCCCTGGCCCTGTATGTATGCACAGCATAATATGTATGCACAATATAACCACACACTGCTCCTATTGTTATGTCATCTTAATACCTGCTGTATTAAATAGGGTAAGACTTTGCAGATAAAATTCCCCCTTAATTTGTTTTTCTTCTTCTTTGATAGCTCATGTAGTCCCATTCCTCACCCGTCCACAGCTGCCAGCTCTACAGCTGGAAAATGGATCCTTCCTCTTCTCCACAAATGTAATTTCTCAGTAAGTAATAGAGTGTTGGTCATTCTGTTTCCAGGGTAAGCTTTTGGCAAAACCTAATCTGATTGTAATGCTAGCTAAGTATTATAGGCATGTAAGAGAAGCACCGAATTAGGAGAAAAAGGGATGCTAATAAAGGATCTTGTAGAAACTGTGCTACATAAACATCTTAAGGTTATAATTTAGAAAGTTATTTTCACATGTCCAGCTGCCTATTGGTGATTTTCTATAATGTCAAAGAACCTAAAGCATGCTCATTGATAGAGACTTGGCATCGTTGCCACAATATTTCCAAATATGATTTTTTTTGGCCACAAATAGATAACGGTAATTAAGAAATTAATGGAAATTTAAGAAATTAAAATATATTTAATATAAGAAAATATGAAGAATAAGCATGCTTCTTTTTTCTCAGTGCTGCCATAAGTTCTATTTTCATCACCCAAAATGTGATGGGAAATTGAAATAGTACAACATAGAGAAAGAAGGTAAGGGTGCCTCTTATTCTCAGTTCTTTGGAGCTGGAAGGAAAATCTTCTGCTCTTCCCATGCTGTCCTTTTAATTGTATGGGAGATAACAGTGACATACATTTTTAAATTGCTTCTCAGTCAATGAATATTTTAAAATGTTGTGTAGGCTGGCTCTATTAGCCAATTGCCTCACCAGCCAATACTAGAAAGCAGGAAGGTACAGTGGGAGGTTGTTGATAGCAATGCCGGACAGTCTTCTTCTTAAGCCACCTTGCTGTTCTTGGGTAAAATGAACCATTTTGGGCAACTTCTATAAATGGAGTGTGACGCGTGTATGTGTGTATGGGAAAACAGAGTAGGATCTCTTGCCTGTCATCTCAGATAGCAGAGTATCTTGGATGGTTAGTGAGTGGTCTTTTTGCATTTGTGGTGAGGGAAGCTAGACTGTACATTTTTGAAAATAAAAGCCTCATGAGGAGTCTTGGATACAGGTCTATAGCATCTAAACATTACACCCTACTGGCTTTCTACTGTCAATATTAATAATGGATGCACCTGAAATTGTAAAACTAGGTGCAGGTAGTCCCTCGTTGGTACTGGCAATTTGGTCATTAAGCAAAGTGGTTGCTAAATGAAACCACTCCTGTGCTTTATGATCTTACTTCATCTTCCCTTTGCTTTACCAGACCTGGCAGAGGTTGTAAATGCAAGGTCACAAAGTTACTTTTTCAATACCATCGTTAACCGGGAAAGGTTGCCAAAGGAGGCAGTCATTAA